TTTTCCTAATTTAAAGTGAACTTATATATTCGGAACACCTTAATTATAAGCTAGTATGTGTACCGCAACGAAATACATATATTATTTAATTGCAATTAATATTGATTTTTTCCTAGATTTGAAACATTCAATTTGATAGAAAAATGACTTGATTGCTTGAATCGCATATTACCATGAAATTTAAAATACGAAGAAAATTGCGCAGAACTTCACCCTATAAAGAAAAACGTCCCCGATCTAGCTCCATCGTCAGTTTGATAATCATAGAAAGTAAATACAATCAGTTAATAAACCAAAATTCACACACATTAAAACCTAAATTTAACGAAATAAAAGACAAATGCAATAACACAGCAAGACTGGTCGATTTTTTAACAATCTCAAGGGGATAAGAACTTAGTGCGGCATTTAAGCTACGCTTCTGTTTGAAAATATCAAGGGATTCTAAGATTTGTAAGTCGGAAGAGCCGATCGTGGGAGCCAAAATTCTGAACTCTTTATCGAAGGCCAAATCAGAGACCAAATTCATGCTCGGCATGAATTCGAACAGCTGAATGAAGGGGATGTGCAAGTAGATTTCCTGTTCGATAACTCCGTCCATTATGCTCCTCCGTTCTAGAATAAAAGTTGCTTGACGTCAAATAGACGTACCCTGATACGCATTACGCACAACTGAATTCATGAACTAGAGACAATCGCATTAAAAGACGATCGAAACCTTTTCCGTTATAAATATATAGTGAATTTCTGTGCCGTATGCTTTGTTTTTAAACTCTTTCATCACAATTTGCTTTGACATAGTTTAGTGAACTGATTATTCGTGTTGAAGTACTTGGCTTGGAGTACAATTTTTGAAGTGCAGGACTGAAATTGACAAAACTTATACAACTGAAAAAAAAAAATCGTTTGGAGCTAAATCGACGAGTTATTCCTTGACAATCTACATTTCTAATTAATCCAGTATTTTCTCATAAAGCAATCTATTGAAATGAATTTTTGTCAATCACGAGAAGAATATTTTATTGAAGATATGAGCTCAAATAGTAAATATTACTACATAAAAGAAACCGAAAACTATCCTTTGAAATTACTCGCTTTTTCTTCGTGTACAGCAATCTTCCAATAACATAATGTATGTTTCAAATTTAGATGAAAAATGACAGCAAAAACTGGACCTGATGTTCACAAAGCGTTCTCGATGAATACTTAATGAAGTACTATTTTCATTTATTAAAAAGTTTTAAAATATACCTTCGAAATTGCGGAGATGAATATCATCTAATAAAAATTTAGAATAATGTCTGCTGGATTTTAATTTTTCCATACATGTGTGCCATACGAGTAACTAGAGAGTGAAAAGCAATCCACGTGGCCAAATAAGTACAGTAAAATAAAAATTAGTTAATTTTATATTTACTACAAGACCTACTACTACATAACCTATCGAGCGTCACAGCCTTTCAGGACTTGCAGGCAAACTCCGCAGACACGGGTTTTGTGAAAATCTATCGCACGCATTACACGTAATGCGCCGAACAATTGTCAGCAGAAAGGTTCGGTATCAAAAAAACTTATCCTTCAACCACTCATTGTACGGCATTGTGAAAGGACAGGTAAGGGTGGGACCTTGAAAATACAATGGTGATGAGCCAGAAACGCAAGATAGGATCTCAAGAGCCCCTCGCGGCTCTAATTAGTCATGCATAGTTAATGTTGTTTGGAGAAAGAGTGACACGTAACCGCACTGCGACACGCAACCGCACTGCGATCACAAGCTGCGCTCCATGACGGTTATTTCAGTTGGGCCTAATGCCCTGAGACGTGCGGTCGGTTGCGCGTTGACTTTAGTCGGACCGAGCGTTTTCTGACATGCACTTTAAAAGACAACTTCAGCAACGCAAGTCGTTCTCGAGTGCCTTTGCGTGTGATACACAAACTTACACATTACCATGAAGCAATTAAAGCGAATTCAAGTTCTCAAATTGCCCTTACCTCGTTGCCAACTCAGTCGAATGAAGAAAAAGTCGTAAATCTTGAAAGATTAGTAGTAGGTTTACCAGGCTGTAAATAATCCAAAAATAGGATTAAATTTTATAAAAACTGGCTTACTTTTGCTGCATAATACGAGGCGTGTCCGTAAAGTAAGTTCCACGGACTGCCGCTGTCGCTAGGATCGTTTTTAGACGCGGCTAGGTAACAGAGGCAGGTTGTTTTATTCCCCAACTCCAATCACTTACCAAGTTGGGTCCAATCCCCTATCCAATCCCCTATCCCGTACCTGCGACGTTTGGTCTTGCCCCAGCAGGCGTCAGCGATGGAGCTTCCTCTTGCGTCTCCCGCCAGCTGCGAGTTGCAGTCTGTTGCTCGTTACCTGGCCGTTCAGAAGAAATAGGCGAAGGAAATTCTCGAAGATCTTTGTCAAGTGTATGGAGAAGAGTGTATGAGCTCCGGGATAGTGCGCAGATGGGTCTGGGACTTGGCCGAACTAACGAGCCGAACAGGGACGCCCGCTGCCGCTTGTGGTCTGCTGTGAGCTTTTTTGGTACCTATCTTGCGCAGACATTTGAATAGCCTAAATGTTCAGTCTAAATCTTGTCAATTGTGGCTTTGCTGACCTCTGGAATTTTTCGCACAGCTCTCGAACTGTAATCCGTCAATCTTCAAGCATTACTGCTTCAAATTTGGAAAATTGTTTCGTCAGAGACCGATGGCCGCCTTGCACAGGCATCGTCTTGGACGTCAGTTTGGCCATTTTTAAAGCCCCTGACCCATCTGCGCACTATCCCGGAGTATATATCATACACTTTTCTCCATACACTTTACGAAGTTCTTCGTGAATTTCCTTCACTGATTTCTTCCGCCCCGCCAGGAAACGAGTTAACAGACCACAACTCGCAGCTGGCGGGATACGCAACGAAGCTTTATCGTTGACGCCCGCTATGGCAAGATCAAGCGTCGCAGGGAGGCTGGCTTGGTAAGGGATTGGAGTTGGGGAATCTAACAACCTGCCTCTGTTGCCCAGCAGCGTATAGAAACGATCCTAGCGCCAGCGGCAGCCCGTGGAACTTATTTTATGGATATGCCTCGTAATATGCCTTCGAGTTGATGTAAAGATGGAACCTTGCTGCTGTAGGAGACCTTGACAGTCCTGGATAGCTATACGTTATCTTATAAACTCAAATGTCAACATAATCGTGCATTCATCATTCATTCAGAAATCATTCGTATAATAATGTAGTGTATTCTTAAATTCGCAATTTGTTATTTATCCCAATAATTACACTTGAAAGCTAAATGAACATCAGGATTACGAGTTTCCTAAGATATTATACGCGAAAGTTTGCGAAAAAAATCAGAATTTACGAAAAGTACAACTGACAAAGTAAGTGGACGAGACACGTCAAATGGCCAGCACTAACAAATTATTTTCGCGATATAACTTTCAGGTTAACAATAGGATTTATTAACATGCACATGTGAAGCTATGGCGTTTTATGTCGCGATACAAAATTTACTCAGGTCTTCAGCACCTTTTTTTATATGCATGTTAAAAATGTACAAGCTAACTTTAAACTTCAGGCGCGTCGAATGAGCGTACTCAATTTACTTTCATCTTGAAAGTAAATACAGTTTCCTTTAACGCATTCACTTCAAATAAGTTAAATACCGGGCTATAATCAACTACCAATTTGAATCCCGATTGGCCAATTTGTTCACTCTACATCAAAACCTAATACCGTTCTCAATCTTTTGTTATTGAATGTCGCTAATATGAATACGAAATAAAAAAAGGTTAGCAAGTCTCGTTAGAAATTTTTGCATTTGTGAACTTCAGAAATGATGTCCCCAAGCTTCAGATTTACCATCAAATGAAAGCCAGATCAATTATGCAATATATTCGTGTTTATTGGTAATGATATATTTTCACCTCCAATACAATTTCCAGCATAGCAAACTTTACTCAAAGGAAGTTTAAACGATTTATCCATGGCCCAATTCGAAAGGCCAGTTTTTTACATTTAAACTTCAAAATGAAATAGAGGCCAAAAGATGGCGCCCAGTAATGCAGAGTTTTTGCTCATCACATCCTGGCTCGTGTTCCTTCTGAGCAACGGCGTCAGAACTTCACAGTCAGGTGAGACTCTCCCTCTTCTTCATAGTGGAACACGCTACTCTAACACAATACACATTAACCCATACGAGTGGCTAATGACCAGAGAATTAATTGATTAAAATTTCAAGATCGAACAATATTCTTCAGATGACGCTGGTTGATAAAATGCAGTTTCAATGAAGTAACTTAATTTACTAACGACGTTTCGAATGTGACAGCATTCATTATCAAGTTACAGGAAGCATCGAAAACTGAAATTTAGGTGAAAATAAGTACATGATACACGTAAATATGATACAACACGAAAATCTGGAACCGTGAAAATAATTCCAAAACAATCTCAAGGTTCAGAAAATCCGGTAGTTATGAGATGGATAGCTGGAGTCCAATCTGTAGAGATGAGGGCTTCAGCTATCGTCGGTCGGATATGTCGGGCCACTGCACGATGACGAAGCTGGTGGGCTCCTTCACCAGCTTCGTAGATTGGACTCCAGCTATCCATCTCATAACTACCGGATATTCTGAACCCGACGCAAAAGGTTAGCCCCACCCCTTTAAAACATCATAACACATCGAGTTTTGCCAGTTTTAACGTGCAAATGGTGGCAAACGATTTGTCTTGCGCTCTGCAATCTATTGCAGGTAAAATTTGGTGAAAAAGTTAATTACTGGCCAAAAAATCAAGCGGTCCGTGTTTTTGCACCGACGCAAAAGATTAGCCCACTTTGCAAGTTTGGCGCTCTTGCGGACAGGACGCAGCGTAGACTCGCTGCAAAGGGTGCGTTCATAGCGTAGTAGTTGTGCACGGATCTTATGCTCACCTAGGCAGGAAATGGGCGCGGGAAAGCCTCTAATTGAGTTTCAGAAAGGAGCCATTCAAGCCCTGATGGCGCTGCCTGAGGGCGAGCGTCCTGGCCTGCGTCAAATGGAGGCACAAGTGGAGTGTAGCCGCAAAGCCATCTTCAACTATCTCAAGGACCACGTGAACTACGGAAAGCGGCACACCAAAGGCCGCCCCAAGAAGATGTCGGCCCGTGACACGCGTCGCCTCTTCCGAGTTGCGGCGCCCGGCGACTCGAGCGCGCCCAAACTAGTCCAAAAGTTGGAGCTCAATGTCTCCAAGTCCACCGTCTCTCGCACCCTCGCGTCCTCCGGCATCTTCCAATACGTGAAGACTAACAAGGCCCCCCAATTGACCGAGGCTCACAAGCATGCCAGGGTCGCCTGGGGCACAAAGTATGCAAGTACTAGTGATGACACCTGGGCCAAAACCAACTTCTCTGATGAGAAGAAATGGAATTTGGGATGACCCAGATGGTCTGAAGTACTACTGGCATTGCCGCAGGAATGATCCAAATGCAGCTTTTAGCCGCCAAAATGGCGGGGACAGTGTAATGGTGTGGAGGGCCTTTCATGCAAACGGGACGAGCGAGCTCGTCTTCCTCGAAGGCAATCAGTGCGCGGACGACTATGTCCAAACGCTCGAGGACCACCTACTTCCCGTCATCCGCCACCAAATTCGCCGCGGCGCCATCTTCCAACAAGATAATGCCCTCAATCTATACGGCGCGCACGACCAAGGCCTTCTTCAGGCGTGCCAAAATCCGGGTTATGGACTGGCCAGCCAAGTCCCCCGATCTGAATCCCATTGAGAACGTCTGGGGGTACATGGCTGGGACCGTCTACGCCTGCGGGAAACAGTATAACACGGAGGAAGAACTCGAGTTGGCCATTCAAGCCGCCTGGTCCAATATGGACCCCAACTACCTCCGTAGATTGTCTCAGGGCATGAAAAAGCGGTGCTTGGATGTCTACAAAGCCAACGGGGAGCATATCGGTAGATAACCTTTAGTAATGCAGCTGACGTATGTTTTGTTTTGCCTAAAATGTCAAAGTGTACGCACAAAGTGGGGCTAACCTTTTGCGTCGGTGCAAAAACATGTGTTTTTCATTTTCTCCGTCACTAATTACATTTTCACTACAGTCTATTGTATTTTGATTACTGAGACCAAGACGATTCGTTTGCCACCATTTGCACAATAAAACTCGCAAAACTCGATGTGTTATGATGTTTATAAGGGGTGGGGCTAACCTTCTACGTCAGGCTGTACCATATTTACGTGTATCATGTACTTATTTCCACCTAAATTTCAGTTTTCAATGCTTCCTGTAACTTGAAAATGAATGTTGTCACATTCGAAACGTCGTTAATAAATAAAATTACTTCATTGAAACTGCATCTTATCAACCAGCGTCATCTGAAGAATATTGTTCGATCTTGAAAATTTTAATCAATGAATTCTATGGTCATTAACCACTCGTGTTTAAACAAGCTTATTCTGATATCTTATTCTAACCCATACCTATGCAAAGCATACTCTATTTGTAAAAATCTTTATACGATTATGGAAAAAATACTAGAGCATTAGAAATAGATGACGATAGCAACTTCTGCTTTCAAGTGATTTTTGAATCTTTTGAACACGATGCGATTCATCGGCAATTTTCCTAGCAATCAAATGCTTTCTTTGATTGCTTGGAAAGTGTTTTTAGGCTCGTTATTGCACGGGTGTAGTGAATTTACTACAGTCATGTTTGACAGGAAAAGATGCATATTATGTAGTCAGTTGCCCAGCAAGTCAGCATCACTTTCAGAAAATTTTCGCCTTCTTATACTATAGACAAATAATTCAAAGAATGATGGCGTCCGCCGAACTTGGCTCGGCCATCTAGCTCTCCACACAAAACTTATGCTAGCATTAATATTTGAAGGACGTTGATGATGGTTTTTCGACGCATAATTTTCCTGGTAAACTTTAAATCTGAATTATATGACGATTGTTGTGCAGATGTGGCAGGCCAATTGTCCGAAAGTTTCCCGAAAGGTGAACATCTTCCGATTCTGGACTTCTTTCGTCATGATATGAACGAAACTTCTTCACAGGTCAAAATCTGGACCAATTTCTTGATCTGAGTCAAACCAAATAACTTGTAAAATAATTGCTGAATAAACTAGTCGTCATTTGTTTTAGAGTGTAAGGCATTGCATAACTTATCTAACCTTAAATTCCGATGATAAATTTCTCCACCTCATCAGGTTATTATGAACTTGACTGACTTCAATAGCGAAACTTTAACAATATGCATGTGGATGAGAGCGGTCACAACGATGCCAACAACTACTCTTCTGAAAATTACATTCAATGGCAGAGTCAACATCGTGCAAGGTGAGTCAGAAGCTTTCGAAGTCTGTCCATCTGCCACAGTCCTTAACATTTAGGAAACTACCCAAAAATAAGTAAAGTCTATGTAAAATGATTATTATACTAGCAAAATTTTCAGAGGCAAATTTAAATAACAGATAAGAATCGACTAATTCTACTTCTAATTTATTTCAGTATATGATAAAGAGTTCAACATTCAAGCTGAATATGGAACCCCGTTACACGCTTCAAAAATTAAGTACGAGCTGATGATGTGGACGGAGTTTTGCATTACCCTAATCGGATCAGATTTCATAGCTATGCAAACTGGAAAAGAGTATTTCGTCTTGGGTAAGGCATCGACAACTGACAACGTCACCAGAGAGAACACCCCACTGAAAATTTTGTTAGGACCAGAAACCACACAAACTTTTTACGGAGCCATAGCTGGAATTAGAATTTATGATCGAAACCTCACAGAGCAAGAGATTGCAGCGCTGAACACTTGTGAAGGCAACTCAGTTGGCTCCGTTGATTTCTCTGAAGAAATTGTAGGAACGACCGGATTTGGAATGGACAACAACATAGCCAAATTCAGAATCAAGAAGAATATGCTTTGCAAGAAGACACCTATTAAAGATTTTATCGTTTTGTGGCAAATGTGCGGACCGTACAGCAAAATTCGGAAGGCTTGTGAAAACTTAGGCGGGCGCCTACCTTCAAGGCGGAAAGATTTTATCGAAGACATCACAGATGCGTTCTTTTACGCCAACAGTGAAAATCAGACTAGTCTGCAAAATATTTATCTGGAAAGCTCAGGTTCCATTTGCGACACCATTGAAATCAGCATCCTTTCCAACCATAAGTATATTTACAAAAATCAAAGTAATTCATGTCTGCCCGACTTCCACTATGCCGTGTGTATTTTGCCCAAAGATTATTCCATAACGGTGCACAGTAGCGATGCCAATTCACAAGTGCTCATTGCACACTCTGTAAGGAATAAAGTTTACTTCTTTGATTCATACAACCTTCTCACGTACGCATCGTGTAAGAATTCCCAAGATATCCTATGCCTTTACTACGCGCAACCATTTAAATATTTTGTGTACGAACTCCAATCCACCGATAGCTTCATCGTTGGTCGCAAAAGGTTTAACTCAATGTTAACTTCAGATGGATCAGGTAGTGAGATATTCTCCGTAACGGTCTGCAATACCTCTTCGTTCACGTGTGATTCAGGGGTGTGTATTGACATTAAGTTGAGGTGTAACGGAGAAGTCGACTGTGACGATAGCTCGGACGAAGGAGCTGCTTGCTCTAACATACTGCCTCTACCCACGACCTACTGGAATAAGATGTGTCCTACACCAGCCCCAGTCATTAGGATGCGAGCAAGAAGTCTTGGAGTCAATAATGTGATTATGAACAATAATCAAATCGAAATTACGCTATTCACAGACCTAACATGGATAGACTCGAGGATCAATTTCACTATGCTCCTTGTTGGAACTATTTACCAACTACCAGACGAAAACTTGACCGAGTTGTGGCGCCCACAACTATTCCTAGACAACGGAGGCTACAACAATAACCTCAATATAGCGAAGAGGACTTCACTACTTGAAAACTTCTACGTCCGCACCAATGTGACTGGCTGGAACTCGTTCCACGAGACCAGAGAAGGTAAGTCCAGATTTACAATGATCCGTCAAAGCGAAAGACTAGAAATTATCGCTCTTACAGAGTTACGAGTCACTATTGAAGTTGAAACAGGTTAAATTTAGTTCAAATTGATATTTCGTTCTCCATATTCGTGACTTCTAAAAGTTTAATTGCTTGAGAATGTCTTGTTTTACTATTATTATTATTATTACAGGATATTATTACAGGATTTTATTTTTACAGCAATCGTAAACTATGGCACCGACGTCGAAATTCACTACGAAACTTCGTACCTTTACACTTTTGGCTGCCGATTTGACTTCTTCTCTTATCCGTTCGACGTGCAAATTTGCGAGCTCCAATTCTCGCTCAAGAAAATATCTGGAAGTTCGTGCCAGCCTGTCTGGAATGAAGTAAATGCAATCCTCAGTAACCGTACGAGCATTCCTATGTATGACGTCGATCAATTACGCTACAGAATCGAGAACAAAAAAACGCTTAAAATTGTCGTCTTGCTAAGACGTAAATACTTCTCTTACCTGCTCACCACGTTCTTTCCTTGCATCGTCTTGTCTTTGCTAGGATCCCTTACGATGATATCCTTTCGTCTGGATAATTTTCAAGATAGAATTACAGTGACATTGTCACTTCTGATCGTCGTGGCTTCACTCTTCTCACAAGTCGTAGCCACGATACCGACGTCTCCGTCTTCTAAGTGCGTTGAGATCTTCTTCTTCTACGTCATCCTGCGACTAGCATTCGTCTTCATTCTCCATACACTCGTCGATATCATCATTACACGAGAAGAAATGACTAAAGCAAAGCCCGTCTCAAAGAGGAAAAACCTTCCGAATAAAATTGAACCGATGAGGTCTGAGCGGCGAGGTGAACCCTCAGAAAAGAACCCCGCTGCTTGGCTTTCAGATTTAGGTAACGAAATCAAAAACGAACGCCTGATTCCTCAAAAGGCCATTCGCGTAAATCGAATGGGCTGGATATTGGGCTTCTTCTGCGATTTCATGTTCGCCTTGGTGCTGTCGCTCTTCGTCCTGGAGAACAAGTCTGGCATCGTTAGCCATTTCACAGCCTCCCAGCTATACCCATTTCAGGAAGAGGGGCACGGTCAATAATATTCTTAGTCGACTCTATATTTATTCATATTATATTTTGAATTTAGTTAATGGTACAAGTCTCATTGACAGTATAGTTGGTTCTAATGTGTAAAACCTACCGTTGCCAACATAAATTAATGAATAATTACAATCCGAATTTCTAAATTGCTTCAATGTTGACGGACGAAGGTGTCCTATCATTGTAATAAGTGTAATATATTTCATTAACACTAAACGGAACTGAAGTACTGCAACTAAATCCTCAACCTCTTACTTTTTAAATCCACCAAGTATACAATAATTTTGTGCAATATTTTGCCTGATATTCAAGGTCAAACATAATTGTGCCTGCAGCACAATGCAGTCGTGACCTTGGTTGGACTAACTACACAATGAAATACGAAGACGTTGACAAGTGAAAACCTCGTCCTAAATCCACTACAAACAATAATCATTTTTCGTAAAGGCCGGCTGTGTTTGCAGTGCGAGACAATTCGTCTATTGTCTCACCGGGCATTTCTCATTGTCTACAGGACGCTTCTCAAGATATACGAGATGACATTTAGTCAACTTGCTCGTTGTTTAGGTACTTAACTGTGCTTTTGTGTGCGTTTCTACAGACGTTTACAGCACCTCACAGAGTAACCAAAATTTGTTTGTAACACGATTGTAACACGTTTCAAATATTATACTCTCAAGCATGGTTTTGAATTCAGTTAAACTGCATTTGCATATTTAAACTGCACTGTGCATATTTAAACTTCAATATTCTTCTCTTGTCAATGAATGATATTGGAGTGCAAAAAGAAATTGATTGTATAATTTGAACGCATTTAATTAACGATATTTATAAGCAGTGAAATAAATTTGGTATCGAAATGAAGCCAATTTAACGGCAAGATAATAAGATGTAGATGCTCATAAAAGTGATAGTAAGCTATCGATTATTTAGTTATTTAAGTTATTTAATAACGGCATAACAATTAAAAATTGAAATAAATATACAATGCAGTATCGATGCTCAAAAATCGCACGCGTGCAGAGACGTACGCTATATACTAAACACTTTCATTCCATAGCCTTTCAAAAGTATACCGTTTGTTAGTATATGTTGATGGAAAAAATATTAAGCATGAAAAAAAAAAGCAGATGAAAGATGTTTTCCTGAGGTCGTTTTTGCGAATTTTTCGGAGGTTTATTTGGAATCAAATGATCAACTGTTATCTGCAGCATTTTAATCAAGTATTTCGGCATTTCTAACTACTTTTCTCCCTGCAGGAAGCATAGTGGTTCGCACTTATAATAGAAGAAATAAAACTCACAATGAATAAGATATTTAATATCATTTCATCTGACTTTCTTTGATTCCGTGAACCAGCTGTGAACGTCATGATTCGCCTCGGACTCAAAAGAGAGATTTCCACGGAGAAAATAAACCGTGGCATTTAAATTTTTAAACAATTTCAACATGATATTCATAGCTACTCTGGCAGAAATTATTTAAATTTAGTAAAATAAATTCCGTGAGTAATTAATTGCCGATCCATATTCTATCACGTGAAAATAGCAATTAAATAATTCTAAAATACTAATATTTCCACTATATTTTCCATTGAATTTTTTTACTGAGCTCGAGTATAGATTTGTTAGGTGAACCGTTCAACTTATCCCTCAAGCCAAATTATCAACACGAGGCGCGCTTAATCCCGCGTTGAGGAGAAAATAGTATGAGAGGCGTGTCATACTCATCATTGAATTTTATAAGAGGTGATAAAACAATTCTAACGGACAAAAAAAACCAAAGGCATCCATGCCTGTTGTCAAAGTCTCCTTGTTTTTGCCACGCAGATTGAAACGAGGCCCGAATGAAAAGAGGTACATGCATTTCGAATGTCTTAAGCACAGAATGGCAACGTGAGCTGACTTGACGCCTTGTTTGTATCTAATCCTGCATCTTAGCCTGCGAAATAGTAGTGGTTTAATGTTACCTGGCGGAATTGAAGTTAAACTTCTAAGCTGCGACCATAATTTTCACCAGATGCTCCACGTTTCAATCTTGTTCAGAGCTCCAGTCATGCGTTTTGTTAGTACACCGAAGCTTACATTGTAGTTCACTTACTAGCTAGAGTTCGATTGTGGATTGGGAGCGGAGCATTTTGAGGGTTTCACTATAATCTTCAACCTATATTTCAAGGAACTCGAACGAACTATTTATGTCTCTGCAATGTCTTTAATTGGAAGCTTGATTTTAAACTGTAGTATTTATTGCTAAACTTTGTCCCAGAGCAAAAATCATTGCAAAGAATGTCAAATAAAACCTTCACAAAAATTATGAGTGGATTTTTCGACTAAACCTATTGATTAACACAGGCCTTATGAAGGCTCGTGGACGAATCGAAATGGCGGGTGTTGTAACAAAAAGTTTGTGTATGTAAGCTGATCTTCCAATCAGAACAGATACAATAGAGAATAACTCCATCCATATGATTGCAAGAAAAGCATAAGTACCCAATAAGAGTTATGATATGAGAGAAAATTTGAAGAAACGCGATGCCAAAATAACATACGATAAATAGTGAACCTTATGCAAAAAAAGTAGAAAAAAATAAACTCGGCCATTATGTAACGTTTAACACGGATGAGTGACGACGACTTACCAAAGCCGAGCAAGACACAAGCGGACACGCAACGAATAATTGCCTGGCTGCATCACAAAGGACCACAAAGAACTTCAAACTCACTCAGCAACGGAAGAATAATTAAGAAATGTACCGTGTACCGTCCTTGTGTACCGTGTACCGTCCTCGTGTACCGTGTACCGTCCTCGTGTACCGTGTACCGTCCTCGTGTAGTGTACCGTCCTCGTGTACCGTGTACCGTCCTCGTGTACCGTATACCGTCCTCGTGTACCGTGTACCGTCCTCGTGTACCGTGTACCGTCCTTGTGTACCGTGTACCGGCCTCGTGTACCGTGTACCGTCCTCGTGTACCGTATACCGTCCTCGTGTACTGTGTACCGTCCTCGTGTACCGTGTACCGTATTCATGTACAGTGTACCGTCCTCGTGTACTGTGTACCGTCCTCATGTACCGTGTACCGTCCTCTTGTACCGTGTACCGTATTCATGTACCGTGTACCGTCCTCGTGCACTGTGTACCGTCCTCATGTACCGTGTACCGTCCTCGTGTATTGTGTACCGTCCTCGTGTACTGTGTACCGTCCTCATGTACCGTACGTATACCGTCCTCGTGTACTGTGTACCGTCCTCGTGTACCGTGTACCGTCCTCGTGTACCGTGTACCGTCGTCGTGTACCGTGTACCGTCCTCGTGTACCGTGTACCGTCCTCGTACTTGTGTACCGTGTACCGTCCTCGTGTACCGTGTACCGTCCTCATGTACCGTGTACCGTCCTCATTTACCTTGTACCGTCCTCGTGTACCATGTACCATTCTCGAGTACCGCGCACCGTCCTCATGTACCGTGCACCGTTCTCGTGTACCGTGTACCGTCCTCATGTACCGTGTACCGTCCTCATGTACCGTGCACCGTTCTCGTGTACCGTGTGCCGTCCTCATGTACCGTGTACCGTCCTCAAGTACCGTGCACCGTCCACTTGTACCGTGTACCGTCACTCGCTACACGATAGTATGTCATTCTATTTTAAGACGCACAGGAAATCAACGGAGTTTATCATCATATCAATCAGCGATGATGGAGAATCACGTAACTTTGTTAGAAAAAAAAACAACAACATTTTTTGAGCAGAATTAGTTTCCACTGGAAAGCCCATCGAAAAAATCTTGATTTACGAGCTATGGTTGTAAACAGAAAATTTCTCAGTCTGTCACTGGAATGAGAGACTGATCATTTTTAGCAGTTTTATGTATTTATGGCATTGCTTCGGCTCAAATAGTGGTATTGTCTATCGAAATTCGTTATTTCAAATGTATGAAGAGTTGTTTCCTTATATCCTTCTCTCACGAACTGATCAGTTCAACTCAAGAGCAATGCCAAATAACGGCTTCATTGGCAGCAGGTAAACTAAAGAGCGATGATAAATAACGGTGTCTCAATTATCAGATCAACCCATGAACGATGATAAATAACGGCGTAACAATTATCAGATCAACTCAGGAACGATGATAAATAACGGTGTCTCAATTATCAGATCAACTCAAGAGTGTTGATTAATAACGGCGTCTCAATTATCAGATCAACCCATGAACGATGATAAATAACGGCGTAACAATTATCAGATCAACTCAGGAACGATGATAAATAATGGCGTCACAATTATTAGATCAACTCAAGATGAATGATAAATAACGACGCCTCTGACAGCAGGTAAACTAAAGAGCTATGATATATAATGAATTCACACCGAAGGCAGCGAGTTTTACTGCATGCCTTGAAGCAAACAATAGCTGCTTAAGATTATTTTACCAACTAAGAATCCAGAAAATTTCAGTAGAAATTTAATTCACCAACGTTCCACTTTGTCAGATTAAAATTTTTCTGCACAAATTTGCTCGCAATGAATATGCTGCATTGCATAATAATTCTCTCGGAAGTTTCGAGAAAATGAAATTATTTACATCAAAGTTTTTAAAAATTTAAGCTAATCAATTGTTAATGAGAAAAAGCTGGTTTAATATACTAAAAGCTGCAATTCGTTCGAAGAAGAGGCAGCCATATAATCCCTAGTAGATAGGACTAACTACGAACTGCTCCAATTAACATATTAGTATTAATCGGACGTAAAATTGAAAAGTTCAACACAGTTAATTGCTAATACAGTTGGTCTGTTCGCTCACAAACATGGTAAAGCTCAATCCTAATTAAGGCCCATATACGCTCTAATCGATTAACGTAGCGGTAAGAAGGAGGACTTCTATTTTTTAGGTATTCATAACTTAATTAATCATTAATATAATTGATGAAAAATGTAAAAAGGTTTAAATTCCTATAGGATTGTGCGAGTCATCAATTACGAAGACAATAACTTAACTACCATCAGTCGCGAGCTTGCAATTTTCACATACAAATCAACAGCAGCAACTCTCCTAATGATCCAGATTAGGAATAAGAAGTAAGTGCATTATTTATGATATGATGTAAAAGTCGAACGCACGATCGTACTTTTGTGTCAAAGTTTACTGATTTCAACAAAACTTATTGAAAAATCAATCTATAAAAAACTTTAATTTAATTTAATATAGGTCGAAAATTTAATAACACATTTGGTGGCGACCCAAAAGTTGTTGGAAGGTCCTGCGGAAAATAGAAGTTATTTTATAAACAATTGAGAGGTAGTTAAATACTCGGAGCTTTTACCGTAGAGTTGGGACACAACTCTCGTGTTCGGAATTCGTACCTCCGAACAGCATTAAACGTTATATAACTAAATTAATACAATAAAATAATGTTTAAAATCCAGATAGTGAATTAATGACTGTAGTACATTGACTCATCAGCAGCCAAAATCAATCAAGGACTCCAAAAAATCTGATGAAGGAGCATAATGGTGGAGCACAACAGAAGGTGGAGTGTAAGGCAAAATAAAAAAAGATGAAAATAAGAATTTGACACGATCATTAAAATCCAATTTAATGGGAAAACATAGTTGAACCGATTCATAAATATTATAAATTTTTTGAATAATTTTTAAAGGTCACCCACAAATTGAAGTGCGAATAACAATGGTCAAAAGTAGTGACAGAAGTAGTAATAAGTCCTTATCTTCAGTTGAGAACAAACGAACTCTGTCTCGTATCTAGCAATCCATCAGACCCCCACAGAGACAATGTATAAAATTATGAAAATGATAGAGGTTGTCATTGAATGAAAATGTACAAGCCGCATTCCCGACAATGAGCGCAGTAGCACCTTCCCCTTCACAGTAAGATTACTGGTCCGAGTTTGTTACAGTTACTCGTGTCATACAATGAAAACTGTCAATAAATACGCCGTATAACTCGTGCTTTTATTGTAAGTGTTCAAACAACTTCTACTGCACACTCATTGCTGTATAATCAGTATAATTGCAGTATAATTATTTATAATTATACTGCAATTCAGTGAGACTTATTATAAGTATTATAATTAATAATAATAATAATTATTATATTAATTATAATTATCATATAATATTCTATAAAGGCATAATCAGTATAATTTCACACTCATTACAGTATATTTATTTTAAAAATCCGCGTTTAATTTTTGAACATGTTTTCGAAATGATGTAAATTCGGTGCAGTAAATATGTAATCTTAATAAAGCAATAAAATTCATCACTTAATTATCGGTGTTGTATTAAACTTACTTGCTAATATACGAGGACAGCAATATAAATCTAACTATTCTATAAAGGCAGAATTTAAATCCCAACTCTAATATAAGACACTCGACAAAGAAGGCAAAGCGAAAATTTGTACTGGTATTAAAGAAAAATACTGACTCTCCAGATAGGCAATATAATAAATGAATTCGTTAAATGAAGCTACGGAGAAAAATTATGCTGCAATTGTTGAAATCTCGTCACACAACATGGCTATTTTTCAAAGGCGTATTATAAGTAAAATGCCAAAAACCATATGGAAAGAAGTTAGTCTAGTAAACGAACGAAAAAAGAAACGAACGAAATAAATGCGCAGTAATATTACAATTCCGAAGCATCAATACATGCTGTGCGTAGCTTATAAGCTGCATTTCTTAATGTAGCTGATTTGAAACAAGAAAACCAGCTCGACAATTCTAAACTATGACTAGATTTATTAATAAAGCTATGGTTCACATAGCAGTAACAAGAAGGCATCGTAAATGCAATCATTGCCTTGGCTATCTCAAAGAACCTTCAAAGCAAAGACTTTGTTCTGGATTACGTCCAGTTTAAAACTTTATAATGTAGGTTCTTAATCAATAGTATGTATTCTACAACATTCATCCAAAAAACATAACTACATCTGCTCCGGATAATACAACAAGAAATACTTAGATATGTCAAAAAACTCCAGTCGATGCTATGATGTTGATGATTATGATCAAATGGAGCTATATCTGGTTCAGGTTGTTATATGTTATGAACTGTTATAAAAAAAATTTCTCACTGGCCAGAATGCAGCGAAGTTATTCGATGATAATAGGCCAAAAAATGCCTTTGTTCTCAAATAAACAAGTAGCACGTACGGCCCAACGCACCAAAATTTGTTTCAATTAAGAAAGTTTCATTGATGTGTTGGTTAAACAAATCTAGAGTGGAATTCTTGCTATAGTTTCTCTGGCTTGCATCGGAGGGAGTCACGTCAGGAAGCACGTGCTGATAACTGATGCCCCTAGAGCGCTAGTTTAGATCACTGCTTCAGGACGAAGGTTGAGGGCGTAAATAAGGGAAGGTGAGGGAGGAAGATATGATGTAAAGCGTGGATTGATAACAAACAGTGAACAGAAACAATTTTGAGTGTGTGCTTTTCTCCATGTAGACGTTATTGCTTTGCATGTTTTCAGTAGTTGGAAGCAACGTCACGTATACCAAAAATTACAAGCACTACAAAATTTGCAATTCTTATTGCTTTTCATAAAATTGAGTAGTTTCATTTTTAGGAAATAATCATTTCGAATTTTTCTAACAGCTTGCACAGAAAATATCAGTGACGTGCTGGGAAACATTCAAAAACCCAATTCTTTTCAAAAGTAATTCAGGTGTAGATGTATGAATAAAATCATCCAGTGATCAAATGGTGATTTTTTAAGTTTTTCATCACGAAATAACGAGAATCATTAAAGCGTTCACTTTACTTATGAAAATTCTGAGCATACTTTAGAAACCTCATAATTTGTCCACTAAGTCCAAGGATAATTTCTCTTCCACTCTAAGTTCAAGGAGAATTTTCACTGAATATTTAATTCTACAATAAAATACACGCACAAAGACGAAGAACTACTATCTCTATTTTTGGAAAAATATCTTGCACGTACACAGATTTTCTATCCGTAAAGACTCTAGTCTGCATCCAAGTTAAATAGAAAGGTCATACGAATTCAAATCTCCAAAGTTCCAAAGCCATGACCTCAACAAGGCGATTGAAAATCTTGAATCGATTGCAACCAGCCATCGATTGAAGACCGCCAACGATCCAATACGTGTTGTAAAAAGAATTTTGAAAGAGGACGTCAATCACTCGTCCATTGAATACAACAAACGACAAATTACGTGTTATTAAAGTATTTACTGAAGACTATTGCCTCCGTTTGTACCCTTTTCTTCGTCATCCTGACCATCTTCCTCCACAGGGCGCGTCCATTTGATGAGAGTTTCTGGTGATCTGAAGAGGAAAATCAGCTTCGCGAAGAGGTCTTCTTCCAACTCAAGCTCGTTGCTCTCACGCACCAGGTAGATGTCCAGGCAAAGCTGGAAACAGATGGAAATTCGTCTACTAACTTGACCCAAAAGCTAGACTTCAAGCTAACGCCGAAAAACGAAATAAATTATGATTGCACACGGAAATACAAACAGCTAGCTTAGTTCCGCAAAAACACCGAGTTGTTTATGCAAAGCAATGAAGCAACGCATTTTTAGGCCAAATCCTCACGAGGCGAGGCAATTAGTACTACTAAATGTTTTTAAGCGCCTTTCATCAGCGTCATCCAAATACCACCACCTTCTAGAGATTTAATTAAGTAAATAGAAAAGTAGAGCAGAACATAATTTCCATCAAAAGTTTCGTCTTTTTGTAAAGATTATTCAGAGCTATTGAAAAAATTCACCTGTAGCAGGCGGTCAACATTAGGCATATCGTCGAACATTATGGTTGCCGAGACGTTCTCGAAATGACCACGTAGTATCTTGCTGACCAGCAGCACGATCGTCGTGTACATCCCAACAATGCTGCAAGTACAACACGTCTTGACACTCCATTAATTATGATAGTTACACATTATCAGTTCATCATTGCAATATATGTTAAGGAGATTAGAAAAATATTTACACTGCTTAAACAGAAGAAGGAAGAGATAAAATATTATAACTTAAGTTATAATAAATATTATGACTTAATTATAATAAGCTAAGAGGCGAGACGTAGCCAAATGAAAAAAAATTGACAGAGTGTAAGTTAATCCACATATGATTGAGAATATTGAGATTGACACTTAATGACCACCACATAATACTGAGCGTCTACAACCACCATCGTGGCTACCCGCTCATCCGCCACTCGTTATGAAGGAGAGGCCACAACCACCATCATGGCTGCCACTCACCCGCCGCCCGATATGAAAGAAAGGCCCTCCGGAAAGGACTTGTCATTGAAGGTGTACATGGTGAGGAACTGGCAGTCCTTATCCCGAGGCAGCCAAGTGAAGTACTGCTTGGAGCAATCCTCCTCCACTTCAAACCACTCCTCCTTCGACTGCAGGTCCGAGTATCCGCCCGCGACAAGGGTGAAGTTCAAATCCACGAAGCCTTTCTTTTTACCTTGTACAGAGAATCGAAAAATACGGTAAAACTTGAGTAGTTTAGGGAAAATATGAATAATTTTTTACGTAATTATTTTCAGGACAAAACTTAGCGACTCGTCCTAACTAATTAAAACAGGAATTTTCGTGCAGTAAATCAGAGTTTCGGAGAATATTCCAAAGAAAGTTCTTAACTTTCCCGAACATTATTTGCAGTTTAGATTTCCAGTGGAATTTTATAAATCCAGATTGCAGTATGCGTATATAATCACAGGCTGTAAGCAGTCAATCTTGAATAGTGTGTAAGCAACATTGCTGGTATAGTTGCAATGCCAGGGCACAGAACTGAAGGTTTTTATCCAAAAATTAAGACTCTGATCATGACTTACTGTAAATGAACCAAGTTCTGTAAAATTAATTGTTGAGAGTATAATTGGACTCCATAAACTGGCGTTATGACTCAATTAACCTATAATATATACGATATAAACTTTGAGCAACATATGTACGTATTACTGTTCTAGTTCATCTATTATTACGTCACATCGTAGGGAGTGAGTCGGGTACTCACTCTCGAGTTCATTGACGTAGTTGGCTTGTCCTTTGTTGGTCACCTTCAGAAACTTGGGGAAGAGGTCTGGCAGAGTCACGGGGTTGAGCGTGAGGTTGCCCCCGAGGATGGCAGCAAACCTGTCCCTCACGGGGTTCCTCTCGCCTCCTGCAGGAGGGAATAACCCAATTGTTGCTTGATAATTTTATTGTAAAGTTGGTTGAAGTAATTGTAAGTATCGCTCAAATTAATTAGTAAATTAATGATTCTTCAATTTATCTTATTGAGCGTACAAAAAGCACCAAAATGAGGGATAGTTTATGCATAGTTCAAGCACATATACCCCAATGCAAAGATGTTTAGGAGTTTCTGAAATTGTTATGAAGATTCACCGATTGCTCAATAGATTGGACATACTGCGTCCAACCCAATATGTTCACGTACTGTTTAGGTTGAACATACTTAACCAATCTATGCAATAGGTTTGGGCATCTAAAACCAACTCTAAATAGTGCATATAAGTTTAACATCTATCTTTCTCCTTGCCATTACCATTTGTTGTATGTAATCGAACTAAAGCAAAATTTCTCGGCCAGAATATTTTTCCGTCTGCAAGGAAACTAGACATTCATCAAAAGGATGTTCACGCACAAGGTAAGTAGGTCTGATTCAAGATTAGTTAAGAATAATGATATGGAGCTTGAGAAACGATTCACAAATGGGAACTCGAAAGCTTGCATTTTATGAACAATGCAATACGATGTCATGGAGTCATACCAGTGATGGCGGGCAAGTCGACGACTCTACATTTAATGTACAATGGAATTGGGTGTCGGGATGTCATACCGATGATGGCAATTGGCAAGCAAGTCAAAGACTTTACATCTAATGCACAATGAAATTTGGTGTCATGGATGTCATACCAATGATGGCAGGCAAGTCAAAGACTCTACATTTAATGTACAATTGTACAATGGAATTGGGTGTCATAGATGTCATACGCTCATACCAATGATGGCAGGCAAGTCAAAGACTCCAGATTTAATGTACAATGGAATTGGGTGTCATAGATGTCATATGCTCATACCAATGATGGCAGGCAAATCAACGACCGTATATTTATTGCACAACGAAATTTGGTGTCATGGAGTCATACCGATGATGGCAGGCAAGTCGACGACTTTAACAGATTTAGACTCAGGCTTGACGTCGGGGCTGTTGGAGTGACGGCTGATGGTCCAGATGATCTCGGTCTTGATGGTCGAGTTCGAGAGAAGATCATCCACCAGTCGACGCTGCGTAGAAAAATTGAATGATGAAAATAGACTAGAATGCTGATGAAAGTTTGGACTGAAAAAACAAATGTTTATTTTTATGGGCTCTGTCAACCAAAATTACTTCGTAGTGATAATATTAATCATAGATGGGCAGAAGTTTTAAGTTCTCGACACAGAAGAGGTGAACCAATCGGAAAAGATCATGCCAACTTGGCTGAGCAGGAAATACTCAGATCTTTCATAAATAATTATATCATAAAATACATTTATTTCAACTGTCATGATTTCATCAGTGCTTGCAGGCCCAATATTTTTGGGTATTCCGGCAGAATAGGGTTAGTCAGGGTCTAATTACAAGGTATTTGAAGTTACCAATAAAAATAAAGGATTAAAGCATGAAGAAGAGAGCTGGAATGCTTCAATTTGGAATTAGCGTGGATTCAGCAAGACAATACTATTAATAGATACATCTTTAATCAATCGCAGGGAAAATAAATTACAAATAAAAAAATTTACCAAGACAAGTTGTTGGTTCCTTTAGCGATAGTTATGAAATTGCTCAACCCAATTAAATTAATCATGCATACCAATGTCTCTAGTATTAAGTTACATATTTATTTAAGAGTTGTACAAACCTGGGCGGGGGGCGAGATGCCCCACACGGCGTTCGAGTTGCCGCTGAGCTCGGCCACGACCACGTCGCTGTGGTCGTAGTTGCTGAGGAACGTCTGGGCCGTGCGGTCACGTCGGAAGTGATAGTTGAAGTCGTCCCATTGCCGCTGCGTGAACCTGAGTGTTGTAATGATTAGTTCATTTAATTATTTGTTCTGTGTGTGAAACTGAGTGTTGTATTTGTATTAATATTAATAATAATATAACTGAGCGTTGTATTTGTATTAATATTTATGCCTGAATTAGTTCAAGTAATTATTTGCAAAGTGTGTCATCTTGAGCGTTATTTCAAATAGTTCATGTAATTATTTGCATTGTGATTAAGATTAGTTCATGTAATTATTTGCTTGTGTGAACCTGAGTGTTATATCAATTAGTTCATGTAATTATTTGCATTGTGAGTGGACCTGAGCGTTATATTAATTAGTTCATCTAATTATTTGTTCTGTGTGTGTTCCTGCGTGTCATAACAATTACTCTATTTAATCATCTGCTTTCGGATGTTCGAAATTAAATTCGTGAAGTAACTAATGTCAAAGCTCAAATAGTTCTCAGCCTATATATATAGTCGCGAACAAATATAAAATAGAAAACGTTTTCGACTATTCAAATAATATATTGTAGTTTAAGATCTCTGTCATGTGAAAGGCATACCACGTACCGCTGTGTATCTCAACTCTATTCGTCCCATTATCTTCGATTGAACGTGTGCATCGCCTCAAATGAAAGAATTATAAACATTAAAAAATATTGAAAAATACTCCTTCTATGTGCGCTTAAGAAAATACAACAGCTAGATACGGTTCTGGGGCCATACTTTCAAAACTCGCTAAGTGAACGTAAGTACTTACGCTCTATTTTCTTGTCTATGATTGGTGGTTTTTGCCTGAAAGGCGGTCAATGATTGGCTAATGAACTTACGATCTCTTAACTTTTTTTTGAAAGTATGGGCCCAGACCAGTTGTTTCGATCTAAGTTTGATCCTGAAGTTTACTCCGTAATTTCGGTACAAATTTTTATCCCTCAACTAGATCTCACTTTGAGAGCTCAAGGAAATATCCAATTTTCTTATTATTAGGCCATAAATGTTTAGAAACTTTTAACCTAGTTTTGCAAAACAAAAATTCTGTCTATAAAATGACACTTCGTACATCAATCACTTCATGATAGCTGAACATGTGAACATGTTTATCACAAGGCACGCATTAAAGAAATGAGAACCAATCGGAAGATTTTTCGAGTTCCAATAAACAAGCTTCTCAGTTACCGAAATTGAATGTTTTGTGTTGCAGCAAATGAAAACGAATACTTCGTAGGTCGAATACTTAAAAACGAAGCTAAGGAACAAACTTATCTTTTGGGATGAATAATTTTTTCAAAAATCGTCGGGAGGATTCCGAACTATGAAAAGTACAATTAGAAATTTGAACTAATTTAGCATGAAGAAATATTTATAACTGACGTGAAGAGGGAGTTCTGCTGTGCGCTCATGGAGAAGACGGGCTGGTAGGCGCCCACTTGGATCTGCAGGTTGACTTCCAGCGGCGGGTTGGGCAGACCTGCAGGCAACCACTTGTCATGATAAGAGGGAACCATATGAAGTGGTACTCACCAACGGTGCTGCTGAGGGCGAACAGCACCAGAGGGAACCATATGAGGGCAATGACCCCGAAGAGGGCACAGCCGCCCATGCCGTACTTGATGAACTTCCTCTTCCCCTCGCCCCTGGCTTGGGGATACTCTTCCTCAGCACGGCGCTCGCACTTGAACATACAACCAGGGTTACAAGCTCAACGTGAATGACGCAAAAGCTACCACAATAATCTAATAACCGAAATTGGTAGATGGTCAAAAGAATCAACAATATAGTTTAAAAATTGCAAAATAATAGAAAAAAATTAGCGTAGTGCTCCACGAATCAAAATAAAAATGAAACGGAGATGATATTGTTACTATAAAAGTCAGATTAAAAATTATAGGGATAGAATGAAATATGATTATGATCTAATTCATCGAGATAACACAAGGCTGAAACCGTTGGATGAGACCGAAATGCCGACTGCACTATATGTTTCAATGGAGAAACGTTTCGGATTTGGTCTAACTAATCAATGCAATTTTTTTAAGTCTTTCAAATCATCTTTCATCTTTACTTAGTATATAACTTGCGTTCTCACTTTGAGTTTGAAAATTCGAACGAAGATGTCCTCCATCTTGATCCAGTCGCTCAAGTTCATGCTCGTATCCGTCCAGATCCAGTCCATGAGTGTGCGCAGCTCATACAGGAACGGGATGTACATGAACCTGGGAATGTTTCAATTATATACTTTAGTAACAAGTGCTGAATAGGAAATTGTGCTTTACTTTACTAGTAATAAATATTATTCTTTATGTTCATAGGGCACTGAAAGTCTCAGCAACAATGTGTTGATTTTATTATCTCGAATAACTGCAACACAAAATAGCATCAGATATTATATTTCAAGCCAAGTTTTGCTTTTACAATACCGACATGATAGAATTACTAATGCTTTTAAAATAACATCAAAACTCTGCATCAATCCCATACTGTGAAATCTTTCCTCACAAACTTTGTCTAGTGATATAAGATAACTCGTCTGTAATTCTCGTGAATGAGATGTAACTCACGCTTTAAAGGAGAAGTCGTTAACGCAGTTGTAGCCTTTACAGAAATGAGATGTAACTCACGCTTTAAAGGAGAAGTCGTTGACGTAGTTATAGCCTTTACAGAACTGAGATGTAACTCACGCTTTAAAGGAGAAGTCGTTGACGTAGTTATAGCCTTTACAGAAATAATTGCCAAGGATGCGAGTCGGGTAACCGGACCGGATTTGGTAGGCAGAGAGGAGCAGGTTGAGGCACTTCACCATGTACCAGATTTGGGGAGGTCGTTTAGCATTGAACTCTCTGGAAAGATGAACTCGGTTTCTAAAGTCTGGGGTGCGTCACATAGCGTGGTAAGCGATATGGCAAGTAAGCCTCGGAAAATGTGAGGAATTTCCAATTTCTTGTAAATTTTGCAAGTTTTACTCATGATTGAATAAAGATGATTGTGATAACTAGAAAAAAAAAGACAACAACCCGTCATACCCACCTTCAACAGAAAACTAATGTAACAAAACAAACAAACAAACAACAGAAAAATATGTGTAACAAAATTTGAAATGTAATGAAGTTTACAGCAGTATATATACCGTATTATTTTTGATCGGATTACGTTGGTGCATTTTGAGGAACAACGAAGCTTATTGCCATCACGGTTACCGAACTTAATATGATAACTAGAAAAAAAAACGACAACAATCCATCAGACCCAACTTCAACAGAGAACAAATGTAACAAAACAAATAAACAACAGAAAAAATGTGTAATAAATTTGAAATGTAATGAAGTTTGCAGCAGTATATATACCGTATTATTTTTGATCGGATTACGTTGGTGCATTTTGAGGAACAACGAAGCTTATTGCCATCACGGTTACCGAACTTAATTAGAAAAGTACGAAGTTTATTGCAAGTAAACATCAATACATCAGATAGGCGTCAAGAGTTCATGCTTCCTTCTGCACAAAATATCTTAGCGAGATTATTTTTCAACATTTATCTCAGCAACCAAACTACAGGTCCCTGCTCAATCGCAAACTTATGCAATGTTGCTGACATGAATTGTAAGGCAACATTGGGGAAAGCTGTGTAAGTAATTAAATTATATTTCCCACGAAATTTGAAGCAGCTGTTCAAAAAGCTGCAAGACCAAGTAATCATGACGATAGACGGCGTATATCAAGTGGATCGAGTACAGCCACGGCTCGCAATTTCGCTCAGTAACTCTGTGTACTGTTTACTGTTATATGATACCTCATCGATTTTATCAGTACTCGCTGTGTTGAACTTTGAACTTTTTGATCTTTGAACTTTTTGAACTTTGAAGTTTTCGAACTTTGAACTTTTTGAACTTTGATCTTCTTGAAAATTGAAATTTTTTAATTTTGAACCGTTTGAACTTTGAACTTTTTGAACTGTGAACTTTTTGAACTTTGAACTTTTTGTTGAATTTTTAACTTTTTGAACTTTGAACTTTAAACTTTTTGAATACATAGCATCTAATTTTTTTTATAGGATATTGACAAATGAATTGTCAAATTCCACTTTACCTCTCGGTGACGGCAGGCAAGATGAAGAACATCCAAATGTGGATGCCGAATGTCAGCGCCACCTGCATCGCAGAATTGGGGAAAAATTAAAACACGTCGTAAAAATGAGCAGTTAATTTCTACTCTAAGTAATTACCTACATGAATCGCAACAGCTAGTCACTGAAAATAACGTTACATACAAAAATGTTATATGAAATAACACATAATTGGCAATCTGAACGTTGATCAGAGAAATTTTTAGCTACAAGGAAAGTCTTAATTCATCTAGTTTTTAGAGTAATAAGAAGTATAAAAAAATATAACATCATCATTTTGACACAGCTGTCAATTATTATCATTAATAAACATGATTTCAAAAGCTATTTAATCACACAAATAAAATTTGAATGGAATTTATAAAAATAAGGCTGATTATATGAACGGCCCTCGAGATACGCTATGCTGAAATTTTTTATGATTTAAATTTTCCCCACACATTCACCTGGAAGATGAGCTTGCCCACAATAAATTTCCTAAGGAACAAAGCTCTGTCGATGATGATGAGACCGAACTGCAGGATAAGCATCACCAGGAACGGGATGGGCACTTTATTCTCTTCGAGGTAGGCACTCACACCCCCGTCGCCCTGTTGGGTCTGGCAACGAGTGGCAAGTTAAGACAACATTCAAAAGACCAATACTTATTGTTTGCAGAGCATTAGTTTAATTTGAAGCGATAATTATAATGCAACTCACCGATCTTAATTTAATATGACTTGAAGTTGACAATGAATAATAATGTATTAGTTGATTAAAGAATTTAGGCTATAAATCTTGATAAAATGACTTCTCTTTTTATCAACAGTTGGAAATTATTTTATTTTTCGGGTCAAAATGTACTCGACAAATATTTTCTTTTAACATTGGCATCTATTTTAATAAATAAAATTTTCCAAATATCATAAATGATAAAAAGATGCTTAATATCTTGCAACAAATGCTACATTAAAAAAAGCGTTCAAAACCAGTATCTCGTATCATCATAAATAAAATTATTTTCGACTCTCGATTCCAGTTCAGATATGAAAAAATGTTATTCAAACAGTAACTGATAATCTAAGCCAATAGCCGAAACTCACTCCAAATGCTGAAAATCCAAAGATGAGTACAAAATCTTGATAAAATGACTTCTCTTTTTATCAACAGTTGGAAAATATTTTATTTTTCGGGTCAAAATGCACTCGACAAATATTTTCTTTTAACATTGGCATCTATTTTAATAAATAAAATTTTCCAAAGATCATAAATGATAAAAAGATGCTTAATATCTTGCAACAAATGCTACATTGAAAAAAACGTTCAAACCAGTATCTCGTGTCATCATAAATAAAATTATTTTCGACTCTCGATTCCAGTTCAGATATAAAAAAAATGTTATTCAATTAGTAGCTGATAATCTAAACCAATAGCCGAAACTCACTCCAAATGCCGAGAATCCAAAGATGAGTACAAAGAAGTTGAAGAAGTCGCAGATGAACATGTAAGTGTAGACGTTAACTGTGACCTGGTACTGAGGGTGCAACAGGTCGTCCACGAACTGCTTCAAGGTCCTGCGTCCTTTGTCCATCCTGCACGACACAGTATTGAAGTTGTACCTCAGAAGTTTTACTTCAGAAAGAGTATTGAAGTTTTACTTCAGAAAGTTTTACTTCAGAAAGTTTTACTTCAGAAAGTTTTACCTCAGAAAGTTTTACCTCAGAAGTTTTACCTCAGAAAGAGTATTGAAGTTTTACCTCAGAAAGTTTTACTTCAGAAAGTTTTACCTCAGAAGTTTTACCTCAGAAGTTTTGCCTTAGAAATTTTACCTCAAAAGTTTTACCTCAGAAGTTTTACCTCAGAAGTTTTGCCACAGAAGTTTTGCCACAGAAGTTTTGCCACAGAAGTTTTACCCCAGAAGTTTTACCTCAGATGTTTTAACTCAGAAGTTTTACCTCAGAAGCTTTACCTCAGAAGTTTAACCTCAGAAGTTTTACCTCAAAAGTTTTACCTCAAAAGTTTTACCTCAAAAGTTTTACCTCAAAAGTTTTACCTCAGAAATTTTACCGCAGAAGTTTTACCTCAGAAGGTATCAGAAGTTTTACCTCAAAAGTTTTACCTCAAAAGTTTTACCTCAGAAGTTTTACCTTAGACATTTTACCTCAGAAGTTTTACTTCAGAAGTTTTACCTCAGAAGTTTTACCTCAGAAGTTTTGCTTCAGAAGTTTTACCTCAGAAGTTTTACCTCAGAAGTTTTACCTCAGAAGTTTTACCTCAGAAGTTTTACTTCAAAAGTTTTACTTCAGAAGTTTTACCTCAGAAGTTTTACCTCAGAAGTCAGAAGTTTTACCTCAGAAACAGTATTGAAGTTTTACTTAAAAACTGAGCTTATTCAGGAACATGGAAGCCATTAGATTTTCTTTCAGCCTGGCACTTCTGCTAATAATGCCTGGGAGTGCCCACGTTACTTAAATTTTTGTTGGAACTTTGGAATTGGAAAATCTTTTAATAACAATATATTTTCAGTGCTTGCTGCTGGTAACAGTGTACTTGAAACTGCCGTCGGTTATTAAAAATAGCATTGATGGATAGCCGATAATGTTGTACGATAATTTTTAAAGTAAATTCCAAACTGACCATTTTACTTTGAATGGGCAAGACAGTTTCTTTTTAGGGAGCTTTTCTTTCTATTTGATTTGGAATAGTTATTTAATATACGTCGTGGTGGAAGGATTCTGATCTGAATAAGCTCGAACTCACCCTTTCCTGGCGAGAGGTGGAACTTTCCTGAGGTTTTCTTTGACCTCCTCGATGTCAGGCTTACGGATGTTCCTGAAAGCCTCCATGTTGCAGCGCGCGCACGTCACATGGAGGCTCTCGGACGGCTGATCTTCTGATCCTCCCCCCAGAGATCTCCGCTCAGACCCAATGTGGGAGCACAACTGTTCAATAAGATTTAGATATCCATCACTTATATTTAATCATTGGGAGAAATTATTTTTAAGTGAGCTGAGTCTTTCAGGGAGGAATTAAAAAAAACGAACCCGATACTTATTTGATAGTTAATTTACTTCAGTTTTGCTACATATAGTTTATAATAGATATAAGCGATATGGGAAATACGAATAAATAGGGACCATTAAGTAAGCACCTGCGATCCAAGAGCAGACGTCCCCATCACGGACCCACACTCGATGACGCCTTCGTGGAAAGAAACTTTTGATCCTCCCGAGAGCTGACGGCGATGGTGTGGGTTCAACACCAAGGACGACTGACGAGATGTGGGTCCCACGACGACGCTGTGATGGGACGATGTCTTATGGGACCTCATTGAGTTTTCTTCCGGTACCGTGTCTTCTCCAATAGACTGATACTGCGAGAGTTTTGACAGAGGTCGCTCATGTGCAGTCGTGTCGCAGCTCGACTGCCACCCGTTGAAGGGAAGAGGCACGGAACCACTTGAAGTGTTCTGTATGGATGACGACGAGAAATTAGCCAGCATCTTTCGTTCTCGTGGTACCGGCGGATACCTTGGTGCCGCAGGAATCTGGTCGCATGGTATGGAGGTCTTTTCGTCATCAGAAGTGTCGCTCGGACTTTCTTCCCATGAATGAAAAAGCTCGGCCGTTTCCAAAAGCATCGAAGTGTCACGCGGGTAGGATAAAGGCGTGCACTCTTTCAAGGTCTCTGAGCTGTCCATCCGCTGAGACAAAATGGAACCTCGTACGGTTGAGACGATGGAACTGTCATCTCTACTATGAGAAGAACTCTTTTTGGACCTTGATCGTCTAGATCCGTCGTGCACCTGCGAGACAATGGAACTCTCCTCACTGGACGATGAATCGTTATCGTCGTGTTTCTTGGATGAAGCAGGGACGAGTGACGGAGAAGAACGATCTGACGATGAGGATGAATCTTCATTAAACCTTTCCTCAAGCCTCTCATCGAAGTGGTTCTCAGGTAGGAGAGCTTGATGGGTGTCGATGCTGCTGGAAGAGCTGCTGGTGCTGGGGCTGCTGTTGCTGCTCTTCCAGAGACCAAGGCTCTTCAGCATAAACCTGAGGCATCGACACGTAAAACGTGATTTTATAAACCCGTAAGTCGCTTGTGTGCAAACAAAGATCAAAGGCGTATGGTTGTCTACTTTATTGAGCTGCAAAATTACTGCGTTCTGCACTCTTTAAAAGATATTATTACTTCTGCTAACAGTAGATGATCAAGATCACCTGTGGAAGAAGATGACAAGCAAGAGGGCGAGGTCGTAGATGGCGTAGCGCTCCTTCTTCTCGACGCCCATGATGCGGGGTGGCCAGAAGGGCTGATTGAGGCGCTCCTCTTGGTTCCAAGGGAAGAAGTCGAACTGGAAGAGGTACTTCACCATCACGATCATCTGCCGCACAAGGAAATAAACGTTTATATTATTGTGGCAAATTTGTTCCTGGAATGCATGTTAAAAAGACGCACAAGGAGATATATTATAGCATATACGTGAACGAATATGAAGAGCAGAAAATACCCTACAATTTATTTATCGATTCTTTGAATAAATGATGACAAAAAGAATCCGAGTAACTCTAAGTTACTCGGATTTTTTTATTTATATTTGTATTTGAACGCAGGAACTGAGAGCTTCGACGAGCCATCATTGTTAACAGAATTTATATTGAACGAAAATTTTGCTGGCGGTAGGATTCTATTTATCTTGTTTCTGTTACGATCGACCCTAGAATTTTTTACAAGCCGAACAAAACTAAATGTAAGATAAAAACCATAAAGAAAACAAAACGCAATATCGAAAAAATATGCACAGGAATAATTACTCAATGAATAAAAACGAAATAAACAGAAGCAACGAGCGAATCTAACTTCAGTATAGGCGATGACGACGATCCAGAAGCTCTTGGAAGGCCTCGGTACGCTGAGGGACCCCCACAAGAAGACAAGGAAAGGCAGCGGCAGCGACAAGATGCTCGCCGACTTGATTTGGTTCACGAAGATCATGATGTAGCAAACGAGCTCCGAGCGTGACAGTATTGCGTACCTGGCCCATAACGTTATCATAGATAAATTATACAGGAAAAGTATATTATGCATAATTATGTAATTATATTATATTGGAGGTGTGCTCTTATGCCGGGTCAAACTGGATAAATATGGGTCTCTCAAGAACAAAATCTCACATATTTCTCTGAAGGTAAAGATCATATAAGCAAATGACATTCAAAATGTTTATATCAGAAAAAGCGATAAAAGTTAGTTAACTCATTTTTGCCATTTCGATCAGCTCAGTATTTCTATATAGGAAACAAACTGAAGAGGAATGGTCGTAATTATGTCCACTTACCAGACAGCGATGAAGAAACGAAGCGGGGGCGGGTGGTCGGGCTGCGGGATGGTCTTCTCTTCGTCACTTGGCAGCGCCACAAAATCAACACTGCATCCCAATTGTAGTAAGTTAATGAAAATTTCGACTTTTAAAATAATAGAACTTTTATAGTGACCGGAACAATTAGACACATCAATATTGTTTATATATAGATGCATGGTAAAACTTTCCAACTTTCTCAAAATTTAATGTAAAACTAAGGAAAAGTTAAGAAAGGTTCTTATTAATAATCTAAATACAAGTTGGATCTTTAAAAAACAACTTAAGGGGAGAGCAACCCTCACACGAGTTTATTAATTAAAAAAATTGAGTTCAGTTTGTCTTTTGCTGACTCCAAATTATATATACCAATCTATTGCCCGATTCGCAACTTAATTTTTATTAGAGTACAGCAAGTGGATTTGAATGTTTATAAAATCTTTAATGTTTCAAAGTTAGAAGGCGAAATTCACTATCTGAAGGATAAATCGTTTTAGATTGGAATCCAAATTTACTGGTAACCAAGATATTCACGAACTTGTTATGCTTTTCATCTCTGTGTAGATTCCAGAAAATTGTTGCCATCAACAGACATTCGATTGTTGGGGTAACCCAGATATTGTCAGAGGGCCAATACAATGATAAAAATTACATTTTTTAATGTAAATTAGACATTTTTTTCATTAATTTGAGCCTCTTACGAATTGCAGAAAAAAGTAAAATTTTGATAATATAATACATAAAATCTACAAAGACGTGCATCATTGACGGCAGTTGATAATAATACCCTCGCTGCCAGGAGCATTCAAGGGGCATAGCACACCGACAAAAATCCACTTACGATGAAAAAATCGAAAATTTCAGTCTAAATATAAGCAAAATTCTATCTCTTGAATAGGATTTCATTTCATTTGTAGAAATAGTTTTTGAAGAGAGATAAAAAATTGGCGAAAAGTATAAAAAGTTGCAATGGTGTGTTGTGCGTAAGGTTGCGTATAAAACGTGACATTGGCACTGAGGCTCGGATGATGTGGGGATAAAAGTCAACTTAAGACTAGCGACGAGTTTTGCCAATAAAGAAGAAAGATACGGGAAAAAAGTGATTGTAGAGTGATGACGAATCTTTAACACCAAGAGAAATATTAATTAATGAGCAGTCAACAAGCAACGTTCAGGGAGTGGATATAGAAAGTAAGGTTATAGAAGTGTGCGACCACCAATCCTTATAACATTCAAATCTTTCGACAGTGAAACGTGAAAATAAAGTGACTGTGTTAGAGTGGTGCGTGTTCACCATAGTACAGTTCACAACATTAAAACTCTAACAAAAATTTTAGACAAGCTTGATACAAAATAGTGATACGAGAGATTAGGTGCCTCCCACACACCTCTCAACGTCCGTCTTGTCGCTGTTGCTGTCGCTATGTGCGGAAAAAACACCAGTACTTGTCGCCAGTTCATTAAACGACAAAAACTTTTGAATTCACACAAAAAAGCGACTTTCCGCTAAGTCTTAGCTTTATAGATATCAGTCTTTGACTAGCCACAATCGGACCAATGTGGAAAATAAAAAATTCCTCAGAAAAAATAAAAGAATAAATAAATATTTTCAACAATTGTCACAAGTAAACGCAATAGTCAAGAACAAATAATGTTGTGAATATAACCGATGCAACTGCTTGAACGATATTTAGGATTTTTATATTATGTAACTTTTTCATTGCAAGCTTTAGACTACTTAATACGTAGCTCCGCAGTGCCATATCAAGATCGGCACAATTTTGCCCAAAAACTGTGAACAGTGTCAACGAAATTCTTTCTAAATATTGTTAAAATATCATTTTTTACTATATGAACCTGAAGGCGCTAAGAGACTAAACCAACGCATCATAATTCACGTCTCTAAAATATACATAATAGAATGTTGATATTTATGTACATTATTGAATTGATTATTATTTACCACGGCCTAAAGGCGCCATCAGAGAGCAGAGTTTTAAAATATTCTATTTTTAGTACGAGGGCCTGGAGGCACTAAGAGGCTAAACCAACGCATCATAATTCACGTCTATAAAATATACATAATAGAATATTGATATTTATGTACATTATTGATTTGATTATTATTTACCACGGCCTAAAGGCGCCATCAGAGAGCAGAGTTTTAAAATATCCTATTTTTAGTACGAGAGCCTAGAGACACTAAGAAGCTAAACCAACGCATCATGACTCACGTCTATAAAAATATCTATAATACAATATTGATATTTATTTACAATATTGATAATTTACCACGGCCTAAAGGCGCCATCAGAGAGCAGAGTGTCACTAGGGGCAGGCTGTAGAGGAGGGCCCTCGCTCCCCACCCGCGACCCCGGCAGTTGGCCGTTACTTTGCTGGCTTTTGGCCGCGCCGCTCTTACCGCTGGACACGCTCGCGCTGTAATCCCGGCAATTAATGTAAACTGCATGCGAAGATGCTTCTTAAGTTGTAGAGGGTTGAAATACATGTGAATAAATTAGATGTGGAATAGATTTGTGAATATTTAGGCTTTAGAAGTTTGTAATGTTCGTTTACTATAACTTATTTGTCTATTTTTATTTGTTTCTTTCAGGAAAGCCTCAAATCTCAGACCAATAGTTCCACGAATCTACGGTTAGACTAAGGTCCAGAGTTAGTCTCGAAAGCCATGCATCGAAGTGAAGTGTTAATGTGCTGATAGTATAATTTATTGATTATTTGCTGTGTTCATTTTGAGTGGTGAAATAAAGTGTTTTAATTACGATTCATCAGTGACTCGAACTTATACGATCATGTAGGCTAGTTGGGTGTTCTGAGAGCCCCAACAAAGTACACGTACGTGTGAAACTTTGTACTATTAAATATATTACAATACTTGTATAAATATTGAGTTTTATGATAGATGAGCATCACTAAACTTTAAATATTTTTCGCAATACCCTTATTTTACTGTTTTTATTATCATTTTATTTACTATACCCTTACTTTATTTATTTTTCCAACACATATATTCGTATTTTATGTTTAAAAATACCTAATACGTCTCCGTCACTCTAATTTCTTTATTATTATAAGCCAAAGTCGAAAGCTTGTTCATTTTATTTATTTTTTCGCCTCGCGTAATAATTTCTTATCGCTATGGCCGGTAACTTGTCACCAAAAAATGTTCAGAAACTAAACTTGCGAATTAATTACGTTCTTCGGTTTCCTATAATGAAGTATTTAATGTTGTCCGTTGCTCTTCTTTAGACAAAAATTAGGCGTCAGATCTTATAGTTAATGATAATAATTGATGATGATAGTAATGATTATCGTTCTGCTTATGATTAGGATTATTGATTCTAATTATGATAGTGATAAGTAACAATGATTATTATAACGATAATAACCGACGACGATTCTGATTATAATAATGATTATAATTAACAATGATAATGACTATGATAATAATCGATAATCATTCGGATTATAATAATGATGATCATTAATAATGATTATTTTCATGATAATAATCGACAAAGATTCTGATTATTATAATAATTATAATTAACAATGATTCTGATTATAATAATAATAATTATAATCAGCAATGATTATGTTTATAATAATAATAATCGACAGTGATTCAGATTATGATAATGATAATTAATAACGATATTTCTGAACATAATAATGATAATCATTAATAATAATGATAATAATAATTATTAACGATAATACTGATCATAATAATGATAATCATTAATAATAATGATAATGATAATTATTAACGATAATTGTGATCATAATAATAATAATCATTGTTAATAATAATAATCATTGTTAATAATGATAATGATAATTATTAACGATAATACTGATCATAATAATCATTAATAATAAAGATAAGGAAGAGAGACTTGGTGTGCGATGCGTCGCTGAGGTCGAGACCTCACGCTACAACAAACTCAGTCACCTTAAGGAGCCTCTTCTCCTTGGAGAGGCGCGCCGCGACGTATCTGTAGTCCTTGGAGAAGCCGTTCAGGCGCAACGTCACCGAGATCATCGCTGACTCTACGAACTCGTAAGCGAAGTTGAGGTAGTGCAGCAGCCGGCGCAGCAGCGGCGCCAGCCCTGCGCACGAGACTTACTCACTTACGGCATCTCATGGGTCAACGAGTGCGTCAACATGTGCATCATCGAGCGCAACATTTTTAGCATCATCGAGTGATACATTTCGAGTGCAGTATGGTTTAAATCATGATGCGATCGAACGGATGCAGCGATATATTCAGACGGCTTCATACCAATACATCAGTGCATGGTTCTCAAACTGAGGACAGGTGCCCCTTTGTGGCGCCGAGACATGACAACTAGGGACGAAAAACACCAGGGCTTTCATTATATCATGTTCACATTAAATGTTTTATAAAAAATATTCTTCATAACAGAACAAATTTAATTCCTTAATTGACCCTGGCAACGACGGCAACAGGCACCCAAATGCTCAGCAGGACACAACTGTGGCCGCAGGCAGCGCGGGGCTTTAATATTCTGCTTCATCTTTCGTGTAATTTACGTTTGATGCCATTTGTTATTCGACAGAGCTGACTATCATTTCTAATACAATTTTTACAGTTACTAACGCAGATATTAATGCCCGCACGAAGAATGCCAACGTAACTGCTCGGGTGATCACCAAGAATAGAGCATCGAGTTGGGGGTTCGAGACCCGTAACTAGATTGAAAATTCTGGTTGAAGTCTGAAAGTTGGCCGGGTACTAATAGTCGGAATGGGCTAATTAAAGCTGAATTCCCTATTTGATTATTATCATATCATAAGTGCAAGTTGGGAGCAAAACTTGGAAAGCAGCAGCGCGAGTCGTGTGCGCTCATGCAGCCATTAACCGTAACTCTTGTTCTCTCGTATTCTACATACGTGATTCTGGGAGTAATCCTAGTTTTATTCTATCTGCAGCACCTTCAGCATTTTCGCCTTTCAACACGTTTCGAGATAAGACCAATAGTTCCACGAATCTACGGTTAGACTAAGGTCCAGAGTTAGTCTCGAAAGCCATGCATCGAAGTGAAGTGTTAATGTGCTGATAGTATTATTTATTGATTATTTACTGTGTTCATCTTGTGTAGTGAAATAAAGTGTTTTAATTACGATTCATCAGTGACTCGAACTTGTATGATCATGTAGGCTAGTTGGTGTTCTGCGAGCCCCAACAAAGTACACGTACGTGTGAAACTTTGTACTATTAAATATATTACAATACTTGTATAAATATTGAATTTTATGATAGATGAGCATAACTAAACTTGAAATATTTTTCGCATACCCTTATTTTGCTATTTTTATTTTATTTATAATACCCTTATCTTACCTATTTTTTCAACAAATTTATTCGTATTTATACTTAAAAAACTTAACGCGTCTTACTGAAGTATTTATTTTTGTCCGTTGCTCTTCTATAGAAAAATATTAATCGATAGTGATAGTAATTGATGATGATAGTTATGATTATCGTCCTGCTTATGATTAGGATTAATGATTCTGATTATGATAGTGATTATAAGTGACAATGATTGTGGTTATGATAACGATCAACAATGATTCTGATTACAATAATGATTATAATTAACAATGATTGTGATTATGATAATAATCGACAATTATCTGATTATAATAATGATGATCATTAATAATGATTATTTTTATGATAATAATCGACAGCGATTCTGATTATTATAATAATTAAAATTAACAATGATTCTGATTATAATAATAATAATTATAATCAACAATGATTATGTTTATAATAATAATAATCGACAGTGATTCAGATTATGATAACGATAATTAATAACGATATTTCTGATCATAATAATGAGAATCATTAATAATAATGATAATTATTAACGATAATACTGATCATAATAATCATTAATAATAAAGATAAGGAATAGAGACTTGGTGTGCGATGCGTCGCTGAGGTCGCGCCAGTCCGTGCAGACGCTGGTGGTGCGCGTGCTGGGGACACGTGTCCTGAAGTCTGCCGTCGCCTGCACAAACATCGTCATAATATTTCAAACATTTTAACATTAAATTGGTAATTGCTTTCCATTTTGTATCCATAGAAAATTGTAACCATTTTAAACTGCAGCGATACACACGTGTACTTAATGTATACGTATATCACCGTGGAAATTCTTAATTTATTTTTCATCGACTTCAACTACAATAAATTTTTCTATCCATTTATCTGAGTTATTACAAAAATTCTTCATCAGGTCTTCCACCATCGATTTTCATACTTCCTCTCATTTCTTAAATCGAAAAGTCGTGTCCGACAATTCAAAAGATATTTATTTTTCCAGCATCCACAGAGGCGCGCGTCGACGTATTGATAGTCCTTGAACGTCACTCTACAACAACTCAGTCACCTTAAGGAGCCTCTTCTCCTTGGAGAGGCGCGCTGCGACGTATTGTAGTCCTTAGGCCTCACGCTACAACAAACTCAGTCACCTTAAGGAGCCTCTTCTCCTTGGAGAGGAGCGCTGCGACGTATTGTAGTCCTTTGACCTCACGCTACAACAAACTCAGTCACCTTAAGGAGCCTCTTCTCCTTGGAGAGGCGCGCCGCGACGTATNTGTTGCATTGTTTTTTGTTGCATTGAGATTTAATTTCTTTTGATAGTATTTTTGAATACTATGCGTCTCTATACATAATTTAAATCACTTTTCCTGTTAAGTTTGTGTACTTACATACATTAAAATACGATTTTTCAAGTGTACGAATATTTATTTCCCCCCACTGTACGTGTACTAAATGCATACTTATATCACCGTAGAAATTCGCAATTTCTACGGTGAAATACACCTGCCACAAACATCCTCAAAATATTCAAACATTTATTAACATTAAATTGAGAATTGCTTTCTATTTTGTATCCACAAAAAATTGTAACCATTTTAAACTACAGCGGCACACACGTGTACTAGACCCATTAGCGCCTAGCTGTACGTATCTGGCGCCCCTCGTTAAGGCGAATTTTGTTTACATTTGAAGCTCATTAAAGTTTACATTTGAAGCTCATCAAAGTTTACATTTGAAGCTCATTAAAATTTACATTTGAAGCTTGCTATGCCCAGTTGGAGGTTGTTGTCACCTGGCAGTTTCTTTCCAATGAATAAATTTCAGCAATGTTGTTTTGCACTCTCAAGGTAGCTGGTCGTTAAAGGGTTAATGTATACGTGTATCACCGTATAAAATCTTAATTTTTTCATCGCCTTCAACTATAATAAATTATTCTATCCATTTATCTGAGTTATAACAAAAATTTTTCATCGGGTCTTCCAACATCGATTTTCATACTTCCTCTCGTTTCTTAAATCGAAAAGCCTTGTCCGACCATTCAGAACAAGTTTATTTTTCCAACATCCACAGAAGCGCGCCGCGACGTATCTGTAGTCCTTGAATATCAGGCTCCAACAAACTCAGTCACCTTAAGGAGCCTCTTCTCCTTAGAGAGGCGCGCCGCGACGTATCTGTAGTCCTTGGACCTCACGCTACAACAATCTCAGTCACCTTAAGGAGCCCCTTCTCCTTGGAGAGGCGCGCCGCGACGTATCTGTAGTCCTTGGACCTCACGCTACAACAATCTCAGTCACCTTAAGGAGCCCCTTCTCCTTGGAGAGGCGCGCCGCGACGTATCTGTAGTCCTTGGACCTCACGCTACAACAAACTCAGTCACCTTAAGGAGCCTCTTCTCCTTGGAGAGGCGCGCCGCGACGTATCTGTAGTCCTTGGACCTCACGCTACAACAATCTCAGTCACCTTAAGGAGCCCCTTCTCCTTGGAGAGGCGCGCCGCGACGTATCTGTAGTCCTTGGACCTCACGCTACAACAATCTCAGTCACCTTAAGGAGCCCCTTCTCCTTGGAGAGGCGCGCCGCGACGTATCTGTAGTCCTTGGACCTCACGCTACAACAAACTCAGNGTCAGCACACGCACCTGTCAGCGGTGTCAGCAGCTTCAGGCAGGGGCGGCTTGCAGGCGGGAGGCGAGGATCGAGTGCGCGCGCGCAGACGCGCACTGCGCGACGTGGCGCGTGACGTGCGCGAAGCCTGCGCGCGAGATTGTAGACGATAGAAGTTAAAAAAATATATATATATAACTCAGTACTCACTGCAGTGAGTGACAGAGAGCGCATTTTCACGTCGACGAAAACGTGAAGTCACGGACAGACGGACTGACGGATGGAAGGACAGACGGACGGATATGACGAGCACAATAGGGCATTTTTTCCATAAATGAGAAAATGCAGTAGAAACGAACTTAGTGCGCTGAACTTAAATTCTTCAATGACACTCTTTTTAACAATTCTAAATTTGAATCATTTGTAAAAATATAAATAACCAATTTTGGAGGGTCTTAAAACATAGATTTAAGCGAGAGGAAAAGTAATAGATTAATCGACTTTTTATTGAAGTATATTAGCCTGAATTACTGACAGGAATAGTATTAGATAAATCGTCTTTATATCTACTTATATATCAGCCAAAATTACGAAATAAACCGATAAGAAAAGTAATTGGTAGATAAATCGTCATTGTATCTATCTATAATACAGAAAATGTTGATGTTATTTATTAAGAGGAAGGAAGCTGCGTAACGTTAAGAAAAGCAATGGGTAAATATTCTCTAATTAGAAGAATATTCTAATTTTTCTAATCTATATATTAGAAAAATTGTTGATGTTTTTTATTAGGAGGAAGGAAGCTGAGTAACGTTAAGAAAAACAATGGGTAAATATTCTCTAATAAGAAGAATATTCTAATTTTTTCTAACCTATATTAGATCAAATTTAGATGTTATTTATTAAGAGTCATGCGTGTCACCTGATAAGAAAAACGTTTTAAAAAAAACGAACTTAATGCGCTAAATTTTAATTATTTAATGACACTTATTTCAACAATTCTAAATTTGAATCGATCGTGAAAAATAAATAACCAATTTCGGATGATCTCAAAACATAGAATTAAGCGAGAGGAAACGTAATAGATTGATCGTGTCTTTTTTTCGACCTATATTAGCCTGAATTACTGAGTAAAAATAATAGATAATGCGTCTTTATATCGACCTATATTAGAAAAAATGCGAAATAAACCGTTAAGAAAAGCAATGGGCAAATCTTCTCTAATTAGATGAATATTCTAATTTTTTAATAATCTATATACATAAGAACAAATTTAGATGTTATTTATTAAGAGGAAGGAAGCAGAGTAACGTTAAGAAAAGCAATGGGTAAATTTTCTCTAATTAGAAGAATATTCTAATTTTTTCTAATCTATATTAGAACAAATGTTGATGTTATTTATTAAGAGGAAGGAAGCTGAGTAACGTTAAGTAAAACAATGGGTAAATATTCTCTAATAAGAAGAATATTCTAATTTTTTCTAATCTATATTAGAACATATTTAGATGTTATTTATTAAGAGTCATGCGTGTCACCTGGGAGTACTGCGAGCGTCCTGATAAGGTCCGGCGCACCGGCCGCCGGAACAGTGATGAAGATCTACCGAATATACCACAAATGCGCGCTTATTAAGGTCAAGGAACAAGTTTAATACTTAAGCCAAATCCCTTCAAATTCCATCATTTGCTTAATCCCCAGTAGTATTTCATATATTTTATGTATATCGCATAGCAGAAAGGTTACTGCTTTTTGACTTTGAGCTAACTGCATTGCCCATTAAGTCCAAAGACTGCCAACGATTCTTCTAAAGTCATGCTTATGGAAAAAAATTAAATTCATAAAACATAATAATTTATTTATATTTGATTTAAAATGAAACAGAAGGACAATTTTAAGTGAATATATAAAAAAAGTAAAGAAGACTCGAGTTGCAGTCCTGCCAGACCTGCTGAAGGCGTCGAACTCTGAGAGCCTGGCGAGTCTGGCCTCCTCCACCGCGTGCTCGATGTCCGTCTTGAGGGCCGAACTCAGTAGCTGTCAGCAACATCTTACAGTTACTGTAAAACATTTAGCCATCAAACATCAATCTGAATCCATTATCCTTTAGACATCAACATTTAACTTTTAACCACAAACCTTTGGCCTCCAACTTCAACTTGCAATTTGTCGAGATCGTAACACTGATTTCGAACGGGAGGAAAGTTCAAAGATATAGCACAAAAATGAATATTGCAACACTAATTCATAAATTTCAATATTTGTAATAATAATGGAATTTAATAAAATTGTTCCTTCATTTAGCTTTATAGCCGCTCGTAAATAATTCCGCTCTCAATACTTATCATCAAACTTTGTCTCTTCAAATAACTTTAAACTTTGTCTCTCAAATATCTCTTCAAAAATCAAAATTAATTGAGATCGAAAGTGCCAGTACACCCACAGTTGAGATCGATTGAGATTGATTGCTAAGCATTAAAAACCATTTCGAGAGTAATTCTAAGTTAATTTAAGTCTTATATGAAAAAAATTAATTCTTATTAACTAATGAAAGTAAGTACCGACCTCTGATACGGTGAAGCCAGGCGTGGTGTCCTCAGAGTCGCGCCTCTCGGGCTTGGGTTTGTGGATGCGGCCGAGCAGATCATCATCATCGTACGTCTCGAACATGTGGTAGTCTCCTGACCTGATCGCTGCACAAAAAACTCTTACGTGAACACAAACTAAGCCTGACCTGATCGCTGCACAAACAACTCTTACGTGAACACAAACTAAGCCTGACCTGATCAAGCGAAACACAAACTAAGCCACACCTATGAAACTAAAAACCATCAAATATATTTATTTTGCCCAGTATTTCAAACTCATCATAATAATTAAGTTATGAATATTTGAAAATATTAAAAATTTCGATGCCGGACAACTAACGTGGCAAGAAACAAGTAAAATGTTTTACATTAAAATATTTATACTGAGAACTCTTGACATTGAGAATACTTATACATAGGAAATATATGACTGCATTGACGAATTCAATCATAAGCCGAAATCGATGTATTGCATCGCTTCAAAAACTAAAAAATTAATAAACTGCTAGTATATTTAGATGTGCGCACAAGAAAAATATTTCAACATTTCTTTCGAAAACCAACATAAAATACCTGCTTCCAATCAGATGCCGTACAAGATGAAACAATTCATTAAGGAGGAAAACTAAAAAGTTATATACAACAACTTGCTGCTATTAAGCGTTATTGTTTCATCCTAACTAACATCTTTTATAAGTTGACACATATAAATGAATGCTCTATAGTATCGCTCAAGCAGTGCATTCCAATAATTTCAAGAAAAGGCAAGGCGAGATTAGTGACGTGCACAAAAACTAACTGTGGGAAGCATTTAGTACACAAGATACTTCAAGCTGGACAAAGAGATGAAATGAGGAACAACAGCAAATCAACAAGATTAGTAAAACGTAGAAAAGTGTCAAATAAATATACTGTAATCGAAAAATATACCCACAGTCAATCAACTGTGCATGCCGCTTACTTACTCCGGAATGCAGTAAGCTCTTACAAAAGATAAGGTGCAAGATTCGGTGGCAGAATTTAAATTCATTCATCCCTGCATACTTGTAACTGAAATGAACTTCTGGAACTTGCACGGAGAAATCACAACTGTTTATGAATTCATTGTTGAGGTATAGCAAACAAGTCACTAATACGGGTGCGCTAGCAGTTACTGAAGGAGATGTTAAATCGCAAACATTGCAATTCGATCAAAACATGAATTAATGCGGTGCAGGATAACCTAGATCATGAACGCAAATTTTCAACAAAACGCGCATCTTGCATGGACAGAAACGCCCGACTAACGAAGAACGATCACTCGAGCAAACACGTAACAATGCGTGATCAAGATGAGGTTCATCCGACAGCCATTCGATTGGGAAGAACACCGATAAAAAGTACAACGTTGACGCAATGCGAGCAGCTTGTGTAATATCACAATGACAATATATATAGCATGGCCGTTTACCGCCTTTTGACGACATTCTTCTTCTGAGTTTCCGCTCTCTGACTCTTGCAGCATCTCTCTGGTTTGAAGGTTCTGCTGCAGCTTCACGTCTGCTAAACTCGTCTCTAGAATACGCCACATTCGAAAAATGACTGCCAACTGCAATTTTTCCCGAAATTCTCGGAGACGCGACCGTCTGAGTGTTGCAGTCCTCGGAGACGTTCACGGTCATGGGAAGAGGATTACTGAGCCGGTTGACTGATTTCGGGGAAGGCTTCCTCGAGAAAGGGAGAGTTCGGGAGCTGACATTACGAGTGATAGAATAACAATAATTGGGGTGTAGGTGCCTCCAACGAGGAGACAATGGAAGTCCAGCTTGGCGGAACGGAACTTTCAAAGAACTCTTCTTAAACCGTTCTTTTGAATACTCTCTCGCTGAGACTGGAGGAGATTCATCAATGTAGATGACCTCACTACCGTCTAAATTATTTACAAAACCTACACCAAAGCTCTCTAACGTTATAGACCGGTCGCTCAACTGTAAACTGGGAGTTGGACCCACAGTTTTGTTTGGACCGGGACATTCCCAATGCCAAGAAGTCGTTGACGTCTCCATAGAACTTTGACCCTCGGCCTCAGTTTTGTCTTCTCTTCTGCGTTTACGGTAAACTTTGAGCGGCGCGTCGGTCCGCAGCACCTGAGCAGTGACGCTGCTCGTATCCTGGTCGTCAGACTCGCTGGCGGAGAGCTTCCGTAGGTAGCTGGTGGATGTCTCCGACGAATCAGATGACCGTCTTGACGAATTAATTCCAATTGTGGGCATCATTTTCAGATTTGCATTCCGATGAGGCCAACTCAGACGATCACACGCTTTATGTGGCGCCTCCGCAAACTGCCGCACTGAAATCCCAGGTAAGATGAAATACACATTACGACATTGTAGAACGAAGAGCAACTTTTAGTCATGGTTGAAAAAACAAAGCACGCATTGATTAGAACAAAGTAAAATTTAATTTTATAATACAAGGTAATCAATTACAAAACCAAAGTCAACTTAAAACCTGAAAAAATGCTTTATCTGCATTTGAAGATATCACTAAAACTATGGCACTTCAGCAGTGATTCCCAAGCGCCAGTCCTTTGACAACAAGCGGTCAATGCGAGCCTCGCAAATAACAAGCAAGCGAAAATAGTGGTCCAGCAAATGTGTACAATGAAGTTGCAAAATTAAATTGACCCCCACTCAAATGTATTCTTGAGACGACGCTGAGTAAGGTTACAAATCAAGGGAAAATAATTACAGGTCGGTGGGTCCCAACGAGATTCAATTTCAAGCTGAGTATTCAGCTGAATTTTTATACGCATTGGAAACAACTGCATCAGGAGGATTTCTTAAAAAATTGTTCCACGATGCTTTAACTTTTAAATACCGGCCTCGCAGTTGACATAATTTTCTACAGAAAAGGGTTCATTCCCTGTGAGGTAAACTTCTAGGCTTTTTTAGAATTGAGTTAGATCGTTAAAAATTTACTTAGATTTAAATCGTAAACCGGTTAATATACATGTATGTAGAAATACGAAAGCAGAAGAAGACAAAATACACAGAAGCTGAAGCTTGTCTATAAGCTGAGCCAATTTTCTAGAAAATAAATGACCTATAAAGAAGGCCTTGGCCCCAATTGAAGCAAAAAGCAAATCCAGAAGCCTGCGCTGAGCCGACATTTACAGGCGTGGTGGGACATGGAGGGCGAGATGGACGGTGCCGAATATCGCCTCCGCAGTCCCGAACCCCCGTCCCGGAGCCACGGGGGACCGATCTCGTGCGGAATGCTAACTCGCCCCGAGGTGAACGTCCGCTCCCTCGGTCCCCCAGGATACGGGGGTGGGGAGAACACGGGGAATGAGTCGTCAGAGGGGGACGTGATGGGTTGCATGTGGGGAAGGTGTGGGGTAGTGAGGGATGGCCGAGTGGGTTCCATGTAACCGTCCAGAGATAAGGTCATGTTGGCCGAGGATGGCGTAGGTGCTGCGGGGGTTGCGCTGAGGTAATGACCCCCACGAGGGGAAACTCCCGCCGTACGAGGTCGAGGGGATGTCAGCTCCGTAGGTAGAGGGCTGCTGGCGTTCGAGAATTGCTCGGAAGTGTTCCCTGTGAGCCCAGGAACACGTCACTTTAATTGCACACTCATACACGCGTTTTAGGTAAAAGAATCAGTGCTGCGACATGGCTAAAAAATGAGAATACATCGTAAAGAAAAAGGCTCTATTATCATACTAATCAAGCATACACACATGTTGAGGAATACCGTACATAAAAATAATACAATGCGAGTAATTCGAATAATTATTTTCATTCTTTAATTCCTTCTTCGTCTGACGTAGTAATCGTATTCCGTGCAGTCGATTCAGCGTTTCATAAACTACAACGGAAAAACCTTAAAAAGAGCCATCCCAAAGCTCATATGTAACACCACGAATATAAAAATGTATTTTCACACAGCGGCAAATGAAACAACAGAGATAAAAGTTGTAGGTAATATTTTTGCGCCTTTGGAATAGATTCCTGGTAGAATGTGGCGCCTGAAAACTCTAAAAAAAATTGGAATAAATAGCAACACATAAAATTTCGTGAAATTTGAAGTATTAATTCCATAATTTACAAACATGTTAATAGCGCACAACTTGAATAAACTAGGGAGAATTTAAATGCTTATCATTTTGAATAAACGATTTAAATAACTAGAAAATCTTTACCCTTGCAAACACTTTTTCAGCCCGAGAAATGTGGCAAGAGTCGACCAGCCACGCTGTTAGAAAAATTACCGTTAACGGTATTACCGGCGTTTCAGTGGCCGGTGGGCACGTGAAAAGAAACACCTTGTCGCCGTTTTTATTCTAATTTAACACTAGAAATCCGTAAAACATCTGATAAGAACGGCGAAACAGTTTATTTTCAAGGGGCGACCGGCCACATATAGAACGCCAGTGGGACCGTTTTTTCACCGTTTTAGCGCATTTTCTCATTTACGGAAAAAATGCACTATTATGCTCGCCATGTCCGTCTGTCTGTCTGTCCGTCTGTCTGTCTGTCCGTCTGTCTGTCCGTCCGTCCGCGACCTGAAGTTTTCGTCGACGAGAAAATGCGCTCTCTGTCACTCACTGCAGTGAGTACTGAGTTATATTTTTTCTAACAGTGCACGCACCTTCATGATGGCTCTGAGGATCCTGACCTTCCTCTTTCTAAATGCTTGGTTATTTCGGACAAACGATTCAAATTACTAAAAAATCTTCACCCTTGCGAAAACTCTTTCAGCCCGAGAAATAGGGCAAGAGTCGACCAGCCACGCACCTTCATAATGGCTCTGCGGATCCTGACCTTCCTCTTTCTTCTGCGCCGATGCCTTGATCCTCTCCATCTTCTCCTTGATCTTAGCGATGACGGCCTGCTCCGCTGCCTGCTGCTCCGCTATCTCCTGCTGCATCAGCTCCGCTATCAACACCGCTCCTCTGCACATATCAGTCGCACGATATCGCTCTATTATATATATTATTACGAGTTTTGGTAGGGCCAACCATTTTATAGAGTCCAGGGATAGAATTACATGTTTCTCTTCCGTGATGAAGAGTGTGAAGTCAAAAACGTTTTCCTTGTGCGAAAAGATTTGGGCAGGTCTCATTAACTAGAGATGATAACTGTCTTGGCTCTCATCTCATTAACTCAACAAGACCGTACCTGGTGGCGAGGGCGGTCTGTGCCCTCATCTCATTAACTCAACAAGACCGTACCTGGAGGCGAGGGCGGTCTGAGCTGCCTGCTGCTCCGCTATCTCCTGCTGCATCAGCTCCGCTATCAACACCGCTCCTCTGCACATATCAGACGCACGATAACGCTCTACAATATTTATTATTACGAGTTTTAGTAGAGCCAATAATTTTATAGAGTAATTATCTAATCGAATTGTACAATCGACGAAACATGATAATAATACGGCTTTTCTGGTGACGCAAGTGATACAATTACATGTTTCTCTTCCGTGATAAAGAGTGTGGAGTCAAAAACGTTTTCCTTGAGCGAAAAGATTTGCGCACGTCTCATTAACTAGAGGTGATAACGGTCTTTACCCTCATCTCATTAGCTCAAGAAGCCCGTACCTGGAGGCGAGGGCGGTCTGAGCCCTCATCTCATTAACTAAAGAAGCCCGTACCTGGAGGCGAGGGCGGTCTGAGCCCTCATCTCATTAACTCAAGAAGCCCGCACCTGGAGGCGAGGGCAGTCTGTGCCCTCATCTCATTAACGAGATGCTGGAAGTAGAAGGAGGAGTAGAGGCGTCGCTGCATCAGCAGGAAACCGAAGCACAGTCCGTCCCACATCAAGCCTGCCTCACTCTTCGGTATAGCGCACTGGTCCGACAACTCTGTGTGACATTCAATTATTGAATAACTGTCAGTGTCAGTCACTGACAACGTCTTATAGCGCTGAAAATGACTGACACTGTCAGTGCCTGACACTGACAGCGCCATGTAGCTCTATGTTTGCTGCCCACGTCAGTCGCCATACGTTTGTTGGCTAATAATGTCAAGATCGTTCAGCATATCATCTTATTTAAATACGACTACTTCATTAATGTCAGAACAATATCTCAAAATACACTCTAATTTGAATACTTTAATGCTTGAAAAGAAATATCTCACTAGCAGCTATCTCGTCATCGGATTTGTCCCAGAACTTCTTAACGCAGGCGATGCCGAAGAGCTGCACAAACCAGCAGGCGTTGTAAGCGAGTGCGTCGAGGAAGACGCAGCCCAGCAGCTGTAGGAACGTCTTGATCACAATCACGATCACGTTGTACCCCAGCAGGTAGTTCCATCTGCAACCATAACCATTAAATTAATTTCCAACCCAGCAGGTAGTTCCATCTGCAACCATAAGTCCATAACCATCAAATCAAATTCCAACCCAGCAGGTAGTTCCATCTGCAATCATAACCATTATATTAATTTCCAACCCAGCAGGTAGTTCCATCTGCAACCATAACCATTAAATTCCAACCCAGCAGGTAGTTCCATCTGCAACCATAACCATTAAATTCCAAACCAGCAGGTAGTTCCATCTGCAACCATAACCATTAAATTAAATTCCAATCCAGCAGGTAGTTCCATCTGTAACCATAATCATTAGGTCAAATTTCAATTACATAATGAGTTGATTGATGCATTTGCTCGCTTTTACGTCTTACGAGAAATTATTGTTAAACAGGTTCGATCGTATTAACTATCGATACCTTGAATTTGAAACTAATGCAACAGACGAGCTTTACATTACAAAGTTGAGGGAGAAAAATTATGATATATGGAAATGTCTAACAAAAATTTCCGCTCACTGAATTATTGGCCTATTTACCAAACCAAATCAATCAAAATTTGTTAAACACTGTCCTTAGTTTTATTTTTACCTATGCTGGTAGCGTTATAGGATATTACCAAGAGCAAACTTATACTTTTTTCAGCGTGCATTTTTCTTCTAAATTAAATAATGGCGATGATACAGTTACAAGGTGGGTCCTCTTTTCGAATGATGCAGGAATTATCCCACACAATCTAGCATCATTACAAGCAGAAAATGAAGGCCCCCAGCACGTAGCCCATGGCGAAGAGTGTGATGCGGTTAGTGCCGGCCAGGAACATCACAGCCAGCGTCAGCCAGTACGATGAGAAGAACACGATCACCTTCAGCACGTCCAGCACCGTCCTGCATCGTCATGTAAAATGAAAATTATTCGATCGAAACCATGATTTTATTGCTAGCCATGTTCACTGTGAGTTTTTCTGGAAACAGCATTTCTTTCATTCAACCTCGCTACAATTAGCAGCGCTGTGAAATTCAGTATTTCACAATTCAAATTTCATAGTTAAAAATTCAACTCTTAATCACTTGTAGGAGATGAAAATTAAAAATATATTTACCGATTATCTGAGACAACAAAGAATGCATCTAACTAGCATTCTATATTAAGAAGAAGTATCTTGACTTGTATTAGATACGAAACATCTTTCTCTCTATCTGAGACAACAAAGAATGCATCTAACTAGCATTCTATATTAAGAAGAAGTATCTTGACTTGTATTAGATACGAAACATCTTTCTCTCATCTCATGTCCAAGTTATTAAAACAATGACTTTATCAATCGTCTCTCATGCCCCAGTCATAAAAATAATGACTTTATCGATGATCCGCGCAGGTAAACTTTACTTGGTGTCTGTGACGAAGTCAGGTATTGGGTTGTAGAGCTTGGCGGGGTCGAGGTGCACGATCTCCTTGTTGGTGCCACCGTCGTAGAGGTGCGCGTCGTCCTCGAACTCGATCTCGAACACGCGCTGCTGGCTCACCGCGAACACCAGCAGGCAGAAGTCAGCTGAACGCGGGCGAAATATTGAAGTTAATTATTTTGCGATCCGTCTGCTCTTAAATGTGTTATTTTAATGTTGGAGGATATTTTGAAATTGGACGATATTTTGAAATTAATTATTTTGCGATCCATACGCTCTTAAATGTGTATTTTTAATGTTGGAGGATATTTTGAAATTGGGCGAAATTTGAAATTAATTATTTTGCGATCCGTCTGCTGTTAAATGTTTTATTTTAATGTTGGACGAAATTTTAAAATTAATTATTTTGCTATCCGTCTGCTGTTAAATGTGTTATTTTAATGTTGGACGATGTTTTGAAATTAATTATTTTGCTATCCGTCTGCTGTTAAATGTGTAATTTTAATGTTGGACGATGTTTTGTAATTAATTATTTTGCTATCCGTCTGCTCTTAAATGTGTTATTTTAATGTTTATTACTGTGCGGCAACACTATCTGCTCTCAGATTGCAAATTACTTTTTGAAGCGCAAGTTTATGTACCAAGATTTTTAAAACAATGAAGAATCAAACTCGAATTTATTCTGCACGCTTCATATGGTAAAACACAAGGTGGTTAGAAACTAACTTGTCACAGCTACAAGAAACATGATAGCTCATTGCAAAAGACATTTTTAGCGCATTTTTTCATTTATGGAAAAAATGCCCTATAGTGCTCGTCATGTCCGTCCGTCCGTCTTTCCGTCCGTCCGTGACTTCACGAATTCTTCGATTTTGAGAAAATGCGCTCACTGTCACTCACTGCAGTGAGTAATGAGTTATAATTTTAGGGCATTTTCTCATTTATGGAAAAAATGCACTATTGTGCTCGCCATGTCCGTCTGTCTGTCTGTCTGTCTGTCTGTCTGTCTGTCTGTCTGTCTGTCTGTCTGTCTGTCTGTCCGTCTGTCCGTCCGTCCGTGACCTCAAGTTTTCGTCGACGAGAAAATGCGCTCGCTGTCGCTCACTGCAGTGAGTACTGAGTTATATTTTTTTACTTACTGACGATCTTGTAAGACTCGGGCGGCTTTATGAAGTCAGGGAAGAACAGCCACTCGCGCAGCTCCTTGTTCATGATCCACGCCCAGGGGTAGTCTGAGAGCACCAGCCTCATAGTTACACCAGCATGGTATTTCAATTTAATAAATCATTTATCCATATTTTAGAGCAATTATTCACTCTGAACAACTTTAGAACTTTGAATAATATTGAGCACGTTAGTGAATGGCTCCGTCTTACCTCTACAGTGCACCTCTACTCGCCTTACCTCTTAGGCTCTTACCTTATCTTAAATTCTACTTCACTCGTCTTACCTCTTACCTTATCTTAAATTCTACTTCACCCGTCTCACCTCTTACCTTACCTCTAATTCTTCTTCACTCGTCTTACCTCTACAACGCACCTATACTCATCTTACTTCTTACCTTACCTCTAATTCTTCTTCACTCGTCGTACCTCTTCCCTTACCTCTAATTCTTCTTCACTCGTCGTACCTCTTACCTTACCTCTAATTCTTCTTCACTCTATCCTACCTCTACAGTAAGTAGGTGGCATGCCGATGGACATGAGGTACTGGATGGGTATCATGACGGCGATGGAGATGACGAAGTATTGCCACACTCTGGCCATGTCCTTGCGCTCCCTGTTGTAGAAGTAGACAAGCCACCCCGCGTAGATCAGCGAGTAGACGTCCAGACGCGTGCCTATAACGCCTACCAGACTCATCAGGCAAATCTGCAGGCAAAATAAAAGTTTTAACTTTTTTTTGCCTAGGAGCTGATCATCATCCAAGCTATTCAAATGTAAAGGACTGTAGACATAGGGTTAATCTTGAATACTGGAGGTTGAAACTTTGAGTCAAACAGACTCATTTGTTACTCTCTGATAAAAAGATAAAAGATTATTTTCATGTTCGTGACAATTTTTCTCATGGAAATTGAAGTAAGATTTGATCGATCGGTGATTGATCTATGCAAAGAACCTCAGGTTGATGAAGGCTAAGGTATATGAGAAGCATTTAAAGTCAATTCAATCAAAAATAAGCATAAGATTCAATTAAAAATAAGCATAAGATATACACACGAACCTCAACACCGAATTTATGGAAGCCATAGTTGAAAAAGAATTTGATGCAGTGAGGCAGGTCGTGGTCAGCCATGTCCCTCGTGACGTTGTTGAACAGCACGCCAGGCGGCGGTGGCGGCGTGCCCGTCAACTGCCGCACATACTGCTGCCTGATGCCCACCACAGCCTGCACCGTGATACGTTGAGAACGAAGCAACACAACCTAGAGGAGAAGATTAATTAGTTCACTATAAATAGTAGACTTCTTCAGTAAAGACTGGGATGTGTAATTATTTGAGATTTTGACCACTAGCTACACCTGATGCCTACCGCAATCAATACGTCGAAGAATTTCAGCCATCGGGAATTCCTTTCGCTTACAATGACCCTCAGGCTGCAACTATGTAGCCTTTGAGAAAGTTCACGCAATTGACACATCAGACGAATTACATTCAATAATAAACTCCAGTCGTTTAAAATAACTAGCCTTTGTCACAATGACCAGCCTCTGGGCCACACCTATGTAGCCCCTGAGGTAGGTAGGTAGGTAGCCCTCACCTATGTAGCCCCTGAGGTAGGTAGGTAGGTAGCCCTCACCTATGTAGCCCTTGAGGTAGGTAGGTAGGTAGCCCTCACCTATGTAGCCCTTGAGGTAGTTGGAGAGCGAGCTGACTTTGTGCAGGCCGAGCCACACGGCGGTGTTGGCGGTCTTGTTCGACGGCCATGGGTTGTAGGTCTCGTTCATCTGCACGGCGCAGCAGCTCGTTACCCTTCGTTCGACAATTTTAATTTTTGTCTCCATTTGCATTTCTCTAAATACCACGAGTCCACGAGCGGTTGATATTAAAAACTTATAGTCTATTATTTGCACAAATAGACGATTGGAACCGCAAAGACTAAAGCAAACTAATCTGTAACTGTTTCACGAATGACAGTTACCTCTACAGTTTTTCCCAAACATACTATTTTTTAGCCATTAAGAGGCATTCTTCCTCTGTTAACTAACTATAATCTTATAGTAACCAGCCTACAGTAAGATAAAAATATCCTTAATTAGGTTAACAGCACACCAAACTCACGGAGCAGTTGGCAGCGATGCCGTGCGCGTTGATGTACTGGATCTGGTAGATCATGCGCACGATGAGCAGGAGCGCCGTGATGGACACGCACGCTCTGCACAGCAACGTCTGCACGCGCTCGTTGCATGGCACGGCAATCGTCACCATCACAACGAAGACCAAGTGAAATGCACACACCTGCGACGATTTTAGTAAACATAACGATCTGGGACCATAATCATAACAACCTGGGGGCTGGGGCCATAACCATAAAAACCTGGGGCCACAACGATAACAATCTGGGGCCACAGCAATATCAATCTGGGGCATAACCATAACAACCTGGGGCCATAACCATAACAAACTGGGGCCATAACCATAACAACCTGGGGCCACAACAATAACAATCTGGGGCCATAACAATAACAATCTGGGGCCATAACCATAACAACCTGGGGCCATAACCATTACCAACCTGGGGCCATATAACCATAACTACATCGCTTATGTGCACGTAACGGCTGATTTCGCGGCTGTGATTCGTAGGTTTAGCTTGAAAAGTTGTCAGTGACAATGTGAGTTACAAACTCGTAACTATTTTTTCATAATAAAGCCTCAAGATACTGGAATATGATAGTGTAGCGATAACGACCTAGATACTGCAACGTGACAGTGTAACGATAACAATAGAGATGCTGCAACGTGATAGTGTCACGATAGCGATCAAGGAACTACAACGTGTGACTGTGTAAAGGGATTCTAAATACGTAACACTCTTGCGGCGCAGAACGTTCGGACCGAAGAACAATTCTATCTTTTTATCTGAGATATAACTTGTAGATTGAATGCGAAATCAAAAATATCACTTGTCGCAGGTACACCTTGCTTTTCATCGGGAAAGAAAGACTTTAATAAAATGCGTGGAACTAATCAGCGAGATTTTTCATCATCGACGGCCGGTATTTTGATATTACTCAAATAATTTATTGTTTCATGAAAATACAATAAATAAAATCTACAAATAAAGGAAAGTAAAACCTACAAAAAATATAACTCAGTACTCACTGCAGTGAGTACTGAGTTATAATTTTTCTACTTACTGACGATCTTGTAGGACTCAGGAGGCTTTATGAAGTCAGGGAAGAACAGCCACTCACGCAGCTCCTTGTTCATGATCCACGCCCAGGGGTAGTCTGAGAGCACCAGCCTCATAGTTACACCAGCATGGTATTTCAATTTAATAAATCATTTATTTCCATAAATGAGAAAATGCGCTAAAAAGTAAAATATGACGGATTTTATTCGGCGAAATGCATACATCAAAACAAACAAGGAGCATGACAGAGCCCAGAACGATTTTCATGATATGGATCTCGAAGAAGAAGAAGAAATGAATGAAGAAAAAGAAATGAATGAAGAAGAAATGAATGAATAAGAAATGATATGGATCTCGAAGAAGAAGAAGAAGAAATGCATACATCATAACAAGCGAGGAGCATAACGGAGCCCAGGACGATTTTCATGATGTGGATCTCGAAGAAGCGCCAGCCGAGCTCACTGGCCTCTGACAGCACCCGCTGCAAGTGCCAGCCTGAGTGCTGCCACACGTACCACACCAGAGCTGCGACAACAAGAGTTTGTTCTCTTTAAATATCATCGATAAAATCTTCAAGTTAATCTTACTCGTTAATTCTACGTTGGTGATAGAGGCTACGAGGCGAATTTTTGCTTTATTCAAGTCACTGGTCATGAACTTGGTGTATTTGAAACTGATTAGGCAGTATAAGGATTCCTCGCAGAGTTTAATTGATGAATTTAATTTAATTGATTGATTGAATTGAATTAATTAATAATAGAAAGTACTGGCAAAAAACTCTGATATTTCGAGATACAACAATGAAAGGAAGATAAACTATTATAAATATGTAAAAAAAAATTTTTTTAATTTAATTTCAAATTAAAGTTTATGATTAAGACCGACACTAATGAACCCACCTCTTAGGTCTTCGAGGGTGCAAGAGTCAAAGAGCTTCGGGCACGCAGCCGTGGGCTTGGGGGGCGGGGGCCGCACTTTCTTTTCGGGCACTTTGCTTAGGTCGTGCACCCTGACCACAAAATATAACCATGCAAAAATACATTGTATATTTGTAAATGAAAACTTATGGTGTGCTGATATTTATTGTCTAGTATCTATTTCAAACTATCGTCAGTCCTGAAAAGATCCGGTCAAATGACACGATTTTAGATCTTCTGTGAACAAGTCACGAAAAGTTAGAATCGGCGACAGGCCACATCAGGCCTACACTTCAGCGCCGAGATCACTATGTTATGTTATGTTATGTTATGTTATGTTATGTTATGTTATGCGGGCAATTTCAACGACCTCCCTCTGACGCGCATGCCGTTTAACAGGTTTGTTTTGCCGAAACAACTTGGCGACGGACTCGATCAAGGAGTATCGAAGGTTTGCTGCATTCTTCATACTGTCGCTACAAAATGCGGATGATCTTCTGCTTAAGGTGACGGAATCTTTTACGGCACTATATAAGCTAAACCTTCACAAAACCTCTATGAAAATTTACGAATTTATACTTGACACTGACAAACTCATTTTCACTTGACCATATGTAATCAATTAATACAAGTTGTAAATTTGAAAGATGAATGACTAAAATGAAGAATAAAATTCAAAGACGAAGGAGGATTTGTTGTGCAACGGCAGAATAACAAAAAATTTTGCGTCACGCGCTCAGACATTCCAACTATATACACAATGTGTGATTGACATACATTTATTTCTAAACATGAATCCAGTCTCTTTTTTATCTGATCACTTACACAGAATCGCGTGCTATGTAAATCCAATTTTGCATCCAGCGATTCTTAAATCTTCGATAAGAACATTTTAATTATTTTATAACAATCGTAATCTATAATGCAGAGCACCGGCACTGACTTCTCTTCAATATCGGAGAGCTCGAGGAAGTCCTTGTGGAAGTAATGCACTTGAATGATCGTCACGATGACGAAGAAGGTCGGCGTCATGAGCTTGATGAAGAGGCGCCCGGTGTCGTAGACCTGAGTGTTTCATTTGATAATATGAAATTAAATGCGTGATGAACTTGTAAAAAATGTGTAAGAAGTTCACACTTTCATACACGTAGTATTACAGGGCATGGGTTAAGAAGACTAAAATTCTAACAACCAGTAGATTTCTATATTAAGTTTAAAAACATTTTCGAGAAATTCACTTATCTATTCCGTAATGAATTCGGCGATGAAATACGGGACTGTGATTAAATATAATTTAAGAAAGATTTCCTCAACATTTTTTCGTAGCTTCTTTAAGAAATCATTATCTATGCCAATAGGTTGAAGCGAGCTTAATTGCAAACACCCCAAGAAGTTAAAAACATCCCGTAATATAAGTTAAAGCAAATCAAGTTAAAGTTGAAGTTAAGTAAAGCGTTGAAGTTAAGTAAAGCGAGTCACCTCGAGACCAATATCGTTTTGAAGCTGTACTGGTATTCCGGTGTAGTTCTGCCAGTACTCAGGGAAGTGGTCGAACTGGTACGTGTAAGTGAGCACCAGCACCAACATCTGGTAGATGATCACCGTCAACCAGAAGCCGTAGAGGAATCGCCGCCAGGCGCTGTACGAGACCTACAGCGAAACACGAACTCCTTTGGCTTTTTCAAGTCGAAATGAAGTTGTATGTTTAAATAAAATAGTCTGAAAATTATAAATTGGACAATAATTCTATAGAAAACGAGCTGCAACATGCGCATTTACTGCCGAATGACATATGATCCATCTGAGTAATTGGTTAACTACAAATAGCGATATAAGTGAGTGTGAACCTGGAAGACGATGGTGAAGATCAGGAAGAGCACCATACAACTAGAGGTAATAATGAGTGAGCACCTGGAAGACGATGGTGAAGATCAGGAAGAGCACCATGTACATGATCCTGAAGATGACCACCTGGGAGCCCTGGATGCCGAAGCCGAAGAGGTTGATGGCCACCAGCCAGATCCAGAACTTGATGAGGAACGTGCGCACCGACTTGCCGAAACGTGACAACCCCGTCGCCTCTTCCTCGGCACCCGCGGTGCCTGACACACCGAAAAATAAACATGCATTGTATTAGAGTGCATTTAAGTAAAATTGACTTGACATGGAATGAATATGGTGTGAGAATAATGCTTTAAGCGTAAAAATTCATTAAGTTTTCCTTCTACCTTGCTCCTCAGACGCCCGCGCGGTGGCTAGGGAGGACACAGGCTGACCAGAGGACGTGGTGGACACGGCCAACGCAAAGGGCAGCACGGCGGCGCCCTCAACTGACGCTGGCGGACTGACGGCCACGACCTCCTGGACGTACTGACGCAGCGTCAGCCAGAACATGCTGGTGTAGNGGTCTCATTTCTACAAAATTCACAAGTTAAATTTCGTTTCTTACAAACAATTTTCGAAGATTCATCGTCGACGACAAATCTCGAGATTATAAAATAATCTAAATCAAGTACATTAGAAAAAAGCAATGTCATGTCATAGACACTACCTTGACTATGAGGGGGTTAGCAGGCAGTTTGGTGGCCTTCAGCAGGCCGATCTGGCCGAGGTTGACGGTGTCCACGCGTGACGGCAGCTCCTCGTCCGTCAGGTCCATGCTGTAGATGTACTGCAGCACCAGCAGCAGCTGCCGCACCCAGTGCATAATGATAATATTAATAATAATAATAATAACAATAATAATTATAATAATAACAATAATAATAATAACCATGGAGGTTTCAGCGTTAGTAGGCCGTAGGCATGTCGCCGATTCATTAGGATATAGTACAATCAATCATTCAATCTCTATAGTTGGAATCACTTCAAATTTCCAGTAGCAGTAGATTTTTTTTCAAATTCCAGGTTCAAGGTTCCAGGAGCAGTGAAATTTATTTTTTTTTTCAAATTCCAGGTTCAAATTTCCAGGAGCAGTGAAATTTAAATTTCTTTCGTTAATTTGAGCTTTATGCCTTTGATTCTAATGCATATAAAGCTCAAATTAATGAATTAGATAGGGAGAGCTGTGATGGTGGTGGACGTGGACAGCAGTTCACCTCAGCATAGATGACGATGGACAGCGCCTCACCTCAGCATAGATGACGATGGACAGCAGTTCACCTCAGCATAGATGACGATGGACAGCGCCTCACCTCAGCATAGATGACGATGGACAGCGCCTCACCTCAGCATAGATGACGATGGACAGCGCCTCACCTCAGCATAGATGACGATGGACAGCGNGAGTTCGTTTAGAGGCGCCAACCCAGGAACATGAAAACGACTTACAACGCTTACCATGCGCCAGCCACCAGGGACACCTAGAAATGAACTGAGCTTCCTAAAGCTCGAACTAACGGCTGACTCCTCTCATGTCGGTACCGCTGCCACTGCGCTACAGTGGACGCACTTCATATAATTATTTATCACCCGTATGCACAGAACAGAGTTTAAAACATAAGGAAACGTTCATCATATCTCTATCGAACCAATTTAGCCCAACTTGGCGATTTCATTGCTTTTACATTTTTGTTGGACTAGCGATTTAAGCAAACTCATTATATAAATACTTGTACAGAGGACGGAATTCTGACCATATTATTAAAGCTGTGTCGCCTCGAATTATCTTCTATTTGGGATATTATTTTCTGGTGAATGGCACAGAAGCACATTGCCGCCACGCGGAGTGCGTACATGTAACATCTGTCTCTTATACACATCTAGATGTGTATAAGAGACAGATTATGAATACTTACAATATAATATATTGTAATAATAATATGAATTTTTGGTTCAAAATCCGATATAAAATTCTTTACCAACATGATGGTTCGGTTAGATTATAAAGTCTAAAAATAAATTTTTAACATGTATATGTTAAAATATGAATATGAATACAATTATAATAATATGAATGAATATATATGAATACAATTATAATATATTAAATTTCTACTCCATCAAAAAAGAACAAACACGACACAATTAAGGATTCAATTTTTTATGTTTCATTACATTGTGAAATTAGCCTCGCAATTGTTGGTGGCAACTTTCAGGTATTGCATCTAAAAGTTGCACAAGGATATTTATTGAAATATTGATTAACATTTAATTTTGAACTAACGACTAGCGTTGAAAACGGTCGACGTAACCATAAACAGCGGCGCATTGAAACGCTGCCATATACGCCCACAACATGATTGATGAAAGCCACATGGCGCTTGTCAGGTTTCAAGTACGTGCAAATTTAAATGCAGGATAATATAATTATTTCAGCCATTTATCCAAGAAACTAGAGAAATTCCTGCGATTCTTATTAATCTTCAAAATCTTCAAATATTTTCTGAACTAAACACGAAGAAAAGTCAATAAATATAATTTGCGTCTATTAGATGTCATTAAAGATCAGTTCGAGCAGAGTTACTTCAGTAGCTATATAAGTACGTAGCATCTGAACTCACTTCACTTCGAGCAAGATAAGTCGTCACTCCAAACAGTAGAAATTTATTAATTTATTATCACATTGAAATAGGAAATCATTCACGTGCCAATAACAACAATCACACAAAATTCATGAACAGCAAGATGCCAAATGCAAGAAGTAATTCAATAAAAATTAACTGAAACCAAGTAAATGGTCAGAAGGAAATGAGGCATAATGCGGGGAAAAATCACAAATGTCGTTAGCAGTTTCACACGAGACAAAAAAAAACTCATAAAAAAACAAAGCAACCCCCAACACCCCAAAAAATATTAATCCCGTAATGGCACTGTGGGACGAGGACACAAATTTACGAAACCACCACGAAATTCGTTCGACGCTCCTGAGTCAGAGCGTCACCGCCGTGCAGCAAGTTTACATACATGCAACTTGAACACGCTTAATGCCAAGTAATGTATGCACCATCTCGTGTGTAACTAAACATCACAATAATTTCTATTTGTTTTAGTATTGTTCACTGCCCCTATTAAAGTCTGGATACCAGTGTCCTAAAACTTTCCGGTATTGAGTCTTCGCTTTCGCATGCATCACTATGGCGGCCCATAACCTACCAACAGTTGGCGCACATATTCCCCCCCCCCCTAATACCAATCCAGCTTAAATCATCAGTTGGTAGTATAGGTAATATAGAGCCGAAATATACCACGCGTCACTCGGCAGGGTAGCAAAATACGCCCCAACAGTATAAAAGTTAAGACCGGTGAGAATTATTCGCTGCCGGGTATACAACAGGAATATAGATTCTGATGAGAAAGGCCGCTTATTAAAGAAATGAACAAGGAGGAGGGGGAGTGTGATCAGCCGACGCTGAAGGGAAGGAATAAGAAGGAGAGGAGTGGGTTCACCTGACGCTGAAGGGAAGGAATAAGAAGGAGAGGAGTGGGTTCACCTGACGCTGGAGAGAAGGAATAAGAAGGAGAGGAGTGGGTTCACCTGACGCTGGAGGGAAGGAATAAGAAGGACGGGAGTGGGTTCACCTGACGCTGGAGGGAAGGAATAAGAAGGACGGGAGTGGGTTCACCTGAGGCTGGAGGGAAGGAATAAGGAGAGGAGTGGGTTCACCTGACGCTGGAGGGAAGGAATAAGAAGGATGGGAGCGGGTTCACCTGACGCTGGAAGGAAGGAATGAGAAGGATGGTAGTGGGTTCACCTGACGCTGGAGGGAAGGAGTAGGAGACCAGGCAATAGAGCCGTTGAGGTCGGAGTGAGGTCGCGCCTCTAGCAGGGCCGTGTCAGGTGCCGGGTCCAGGTGGCCGGTGAGGGCCAGTGTGCCGGCACCCTCGATGCCGCGCGGTGTTCCGAGGCCGCCGCTGCCGCTTACAACGCTGCTGAGCAGACTGCCGCCATTCAACAGCACGCCGATCTCGTTAAGCTTAACGCACATACAAAATCATTTCAGCTATTAGGAGGCAGGAAATGAAGGTATTAAAGAACTTAAATGACTACAGCGTTATTGTATTCACGGAAGTTACATGAAATGTCATATTCACCATAAAAAACACCCTCAGGCATGAATGATTATTTTTCCTCTTAATCATTTTACAACACAAAAGAAAGATGTGAACTTGTTAACAAGTAAAAGAAATTCAAGTCGATACAGAAGGATGACAAGAGCGTGTAAATTTAAAATGAAATATAGAGAATGTAACTAAAGGAAGAGGACAGGAGAGTCATAAAGAACGGTTCAGACTAAGGAAAATAGAATGAAGTACAAATGAAGAACAAATTAAAGTTCAGGTTTACACTCACCGGGAGGTCAGACTCGGGAGGCACAGGAGCAGGTGGTCGGTCTAGGGGCGGAAGAAGATGTTGTCTGATGTTGGTGGAGGCGGAACGCCGTCTCTTGGGTGGCGGTAAGGTTGAGAACGGGTTGTGGTAGGGTGGTACTCGGTAGATGGTACTGTACTTCGGTTGCTGAGGCAGGTGTTGCAGGTGACCACGGTATTGGTTCAGCATTCCGAACCCTGGGAAAGCGGATTGTCTTCTTTGCGCAATCCCTGAATTAGGAGGATTTTTGTGGATTGGCGCCGAGATCGCAGAGATTGCCGACCCTTTGCGTTGGTATTGCGGGCCGAAGGAAAAAGGCGACGTCTTTGACGGGAACAGAGAGCCCGTTGGTGGACCACTGGTGCTGGTAGACGGGTTACGGCGACGGGATTTGGTGCTGCTGCGTTTAGTTGAACGTCGCATGACCGTGTGACGTCGGATGAGGGCACGGACGGTCGAGGGTTGAGCGGCGCTAGCCTGACGTTGTAATAACGCCGCCTGGAGTGAAATACGTCATGTGCAAAGCTGGCGTCATTGTCAGCGAATTTTCTCACTTATGGAAAAAATGAGCTACTGTGCTCGTCATGTCCGTCAGTCCGTTTGTCGTCTGTCTGTCCGTCCGTCCGTGACTTCACGTTTTCGTCGACGAGAAAGTGCGCTCTCTGTCACTCACTGCAGTGAGTACTGAGTTATATTTTTTCTAGTTTGAGTCATCGATCCGGACAACTATTTAACGAAGTTCGTTGTATCTTATGGACTTTAGAAATACAATAAAACTAATGCAGAAGGTAAAACTTCATATAAAATAATCCATGCTTGAAAAAAATTTACCCGCCCACCTATGTAACTGCTAAATGGGTGTCAGCCAACTTTATTGTAAAAAGATTGTAAAAAGAGACATGAACCAATAAATTTTATTAATCTGTTTACATTTCTCTCGCTAAAAGCTCGTCTTGTCAGTCATCAAGGAGATGGTATCTCATCCTATCTTAACTCACAGCGTCCGTCGACGACCAAAAACGCCGCACATGAAGCCCCCAGTTTACCTAAAAAGGCCCAGTTTAACTAATAGCCCCAGTTTACCTAATAAAATATTCATTAATAATCGTGATAAGATAAAACGTGTCAACTTTTGGAAAATTCGCTCTAGAACTAATTAGATTATTTGTAATTGTAATCTAGCAGCTGCATGTGCCGCTCGTGCGACGACCTGAGTCACTGTATGGGGGTCAGCGCCCCCGGCTGTGTCATCACAGGCTGTTTGCCTCAGCTACCTGAGGTAATGAGGGGGGCTGTTGCTGTTTCTTTACCGTTGCTGCTCATGTTTTATCTCATTATTGCTTCTATCCTTGTCGCTGTGCAGCTAATTTGAATGGTTGTCGATTACTACAGACGAATTTGATACAGATGCTGCCCTTGCTGAAAATTCATTTGTTGGTAATAGAAGTAATAAAATAGGTAATACAACTGTTGAAAATGGCATTTCCTTTGTTTTAATCTCTATGGTTTGTATAGCTATTGATGTCACTACTCGTATTCGTAGGGTCGGGAAATTTTTAAAAAAAATTTGTTGCATTTTGATTGTTATTTGTTGATATTTGGCACCGACTTTCTATCGAAATAAAAGTTATTTTCATTTTTCTCCGCGATATCCATTTAATTTAATAACGCAGCCTTCAATCACTAGAACTAATCCTTGCTTAATTCTAATGGCACCGAATTAGTTTTCGAGAACCTGAGCTGGATGAGCAAACAAAGAGTAGCGTTAGCTGGCAACGCGACCGTATAGCACAGAAAAACACAAGTCGAGACTCTCATTGAACGTCGATACAAACTACGTTGCAATTACCCTCTGGTATACGAGCCTTCCTTTGTCTCCGAATAACTTGGTTTTTAAGGCACTGCAGTAGCGCTCCTGTCACAGTGCATGATAATCTGCCACTTTTTCCTTACTTTCTTGACAACTTATATGTTCAAGTTTCAATTTTGAGAGAATAAACCTAACTCAAAGTTTTTTCACGAGTCGCAACCAATTGAAGCGGACGTGCTAAAGATTCTCTACAGCGGAAACTAAATGCACGACTCACGTAGGTACAATAACGTAAATAATAAATGAATTTGTCTCATCGATGAGCAAAAATGTAAATCATATGATTCATATCTGTCATCAAGGCGTTTATATCTCTAATAATATCAGCGCCGATTGCATAATGTTCTGCTGCAGCTTCAAAGGAACTTAACGCGTAATTTAGTAGCAGAAACAGCTCCTGACTTTAGTTTGGAGGATATCCCGATGATGGTGACGTCGGTCAACATCACCACTTCGATGATCTAAGTGATCATCACTTATATGACGATCATCACTTCGATGACGATCATCACTTAGGTGACGATCATCACTTCGATGTCAATTATAACTTCGGGGACGATCCTCACTGAGGCGAGTTGACACGAATTTTAAATCGTTTTGACCTCGAATGTTAAAGTAGTAACATTACTAACATCAAGCAATATTATGCACAATCCAGGAATAATGCACAACCAAGGTCATGCTGAAAAATATCATCCCTAAGATTAAAAAAGTCAACAACGTAATAAAGAAAATAAACAAATTGCAAACGATTTGATTTTTGCTACATGCTCACACAATTCATGGTTACAGGTTCACACACGACTGTAAGGATGCAAAAAGCTAAACAGGCTTAGCACAACTCCCACACAAATTATGAAAACCCAATTCGTTAACTTCTTTTCAATTGTGAAATATAATACACAATTCGCGAATTGTGTTTCAAATTTCACGCTCTGTTTTAAATATTAGTGACAGCGCGTCAGCTCCGCGATTGTTAGCTGTTTTCCAGCTTTTTATCGAAGAAAATGATTCCAGTTGACATTATAAAAAATCTATTCAATCAAAGATATTAAATAATGTAAAAATTTAGAGAATAGATGCAATATGAATAACCTACCGTTTACACGTCGCAGGTCTTCGCAGGTGCTTACCTTACTAGAGAGCAGGAAGCGGGACTGGTAATGCATGAGGTAATACAGCAGCACCAGCACCACGGGGTTGAGAAACCTGCAAACACCGAGCTTTTGAGTTATTGTATCGATTAGAACTCGCGAATACAGATTCAAATAGACGAAAATGAATACATTAAATTTATCCGTGAAGCTTTTATCCGTCTTATTTAAATAGAAGAAGCATTTCCAAGCATGGAAAATGCGTGGAAAATGGAAGTAAAAATACTCATGGAAGTAAATGTATGAGGCATACTCTAGTAGAGAGTATTTCGTGCAGCTTCAGCACTAAACGCTTTGTGTCCGAAGAGGATTGTAAGTAAAAATACTCGGTAAGGACAAGATCCTCGCCAGAAAAGCGTGTAAGTGTAGGAAAATTCCGTACCACAGATTCGTAAATCAAATTATTCATGATAACAAAGTGGTTTCCAACATCAAAGTAATATAATCTGAGTCAATGTCTAACTAGAGATAAGGAGATCGAAACGTTCAAGAAAATAACGTTATTTTTCAACATCAAAGTAATCTAATCTAAAATCAAACCGTTCACGATAAGGAAAGGGTTTCCAACATCACAGTAATGTAATTTAGGTCAAAGTGTAACCAGCGATATGGAGATCGAAAAGTTCAAGAACATAACGTTATTTTGAACATCAAAGTAACATAATCTAAGTCAAAGTCTAACCAGAAATTCGGAGATCGAAACGTTCAGGAACATAACGTTATTTTGAACATCAAAGTAACATAATCTAAGTCAAAGTGTAACCAGCAATACGAAGATCGGAACGTTCAAGAATTGATTGATTCATCAAGAATTGGTGAACGGAACGTTCACCCTGATTTGCAACATCAAAGTAATATAATCTAATTCAAAGTCTAACAATAGATACGAAGATCGAAACGCTCAACGAAACGCTCGCAAATAACGTTATTTGCGACATCAAAGTAACATGATCTAAGTCAAAGTCTAACCAGAAATACGGATATCGAAATTTTCAAGAGAATAACGTTGTTTTGAACATTAAAGTAATATAATCTAAGACTAAGTCAAAGTTTAACCAGAAATACGGAGATCGAAACGTTCAAGAACATAACGTTATTTTTAACATCAAAGTAATATTATCTAAGTCAAAGTCTAACCAGAAATACGGATATCGAAACTTTCAAGAAAATAACGTTGTTTTCAGCATGAAAGTAACATAATCTAAGTCAAGTGTAGGCAGAAATACGGATATCGAAACCTTCAAGAAAATAACGTTGTTTTCAACATGAAAGTAATATTATCTAAGTCAAGTATAGGCAGCAGCCACCACGGCGTCGCACCTGTTCCACTGCGGGCGCGGTACGTACGCAGCGCGAGGGTCGCCGTCACAGCGCGTCTCATAGAGCGCCTGCATCCCGAACGCCCTGGGGGCACATGTGCTCTGCTTAGTACTTGTGAACCTTTGATTAATATTTGATATATTATAATATATGATAATAAATGATAATATTTGATATCTGGTAATGTAATCTTTGATTAATATTTGAATGTTATAATATTTGATATTTTGTAATATAATCTTTGACTAATATTTGATAATATATTATAATATTTGATATGTGGTAATATAATCTTTGATTAATATTTGATAATATAGTATAATATTTTATATTTGATAATATAAGCTTTGATTAATATTTGATATATGATAATATTTGATATTTTGTAATATAATCTTTGATTAATATTTTACACAATGGGATGGAAGAAAATGAGGATGTTTCGGAATAAAGGAATAATTACAATAAATGATTAATAAATTGTCATAAACTTCACAAAATTTGAAGTTTTTCTCAGATATGGAAATTTATTCAAAATTGTCAAATTACCGCCAAAAGGTTGACAGTATATTGTTTTTTAACACCTATCAGTTTAAGCAAAGTTACCGCGAAATAGACTAATAAATTCAGGGCAATCAAACACCCATTTTATTAGTTTAAAAATAAATCACAACGTCCCTTTTCAAATAAGTGTAATAGAAGGCTCATTTTATTAGCTTCAAATTAAATTGCAACTAAATTTAATTTGCCGCCTCAAGGTAGGGCGGCAGACCTGGGTGTAGCGGAGGTCTTGGGTATGTTCTCTTGGATCCACTGCGCCTGGTAGAGATACAGGAGCACGATGTGCACGCCTGACAACATCGCCAGGCCACGACACACCAACCTTGTTTAGAACGCAGCGTTTTGTTAAGCAATTGTTATGCCACGATGTACATCAGTCTAAAGACTAATTCAACCACAATATGAAGGTGTTTTGTGAATCAATTTTACCATCATATACGAGTACCAATCTATAGCATAAATTTCAATTTAAAGATTTGCTAGTGTTATGATAAAAGATAGAGATAAATGTGCTATGATAAAAGATAAATTTAAAAATTTGCTATGATATTGGTGAAGTTTCATGGTGCGCATTTGACTTGAAACCTTCATTTCGCTTTACTTAATCCTTACGGCGCCGACCGTATAAGGTCGGAGAACTCTATACCGACACGCTACATCGCGGAGTGCTCATCAGCTACTGGGGGGCTTTACTTAAGGTTGCTAGACCTTATATAAGCTTCGCTTCCGCCCATTACTGAGGTCTTGATCGCGTGATCCATCACGTGTCTATCAGATGTTGACTCGTCCTCAATCTCTATCAGGTCAAGTGAATTGACACCGGACATTCGCATAGAACAACTCGCCGGGAGATGTACCTACATGTTATTCCTGCTTCATGCTGCTATTCCCTTATTGACATGTTCCAGGTTAATTTTTCGGGTAAAATCATCTTTTCGCGTAACTTTTTCTCATGTTTACAGCTAGTTTACCCGTCATCGATGTCATCAGCACCTATACTATAGTTCTCACAACAATAGAGCTTCCCATCTGCAGACTAACCCTTAGAAAGTAAACTCATAGTGTCGCCTCGTATGACGTGTTCATCACGCATTAACGAAGATTAGAATATAGAGTAGAATTTTAGTGCTGTGTATAGTAGGGTATTGTAGTGGGGAACCACCAACATATTGACCGCTAGTTAATGGCCGCTAGTCTAATGTACGTCGCCATGCAAACAAACGCGGCCAACCCGCAAGGAAAAGGACAATCAAGGACAGAGTTATCAAGAGTTTTCATCAATGAAATACTTCAAAACCAAAAGGTTATAATGAGGCAGGAGAAATCAGCACATTACAATAGTAAGAAAAGGTTACTGAAAATCAATAAGTTTGTTCATTATTCTATTTGGTTAAACGATATCTCTTGAGAATTCTTGCTGAACTCCCATGCTAATTCCGAGAGGAATGCTATGAATATAGGATAATACATCAATTATAATAAATACTTAATTAAACTTAGGTTTTCTATTTGATGTTTCATTCGCGTTTCTGGCGTTAATCGTTAGATAATACAATGAAAAATAGACAATATGCGGTTTCTCATTCGCCGACACAATTCTACTCAAGATGATTTTTGACGACGATCCCGACTGAGCAGGGATGGATGGGTTTCAAACAATACCTATACCGTGCAAAGTATACACAAAATCTTTTTTGATATACAGGAAGTGCAATGCCAATTAAGAGATAAATTGGTATCAATTCATCACGCAGGATTCGCGCGAAAATTATTTTAATCGGAAAACACTTCAACATTTGTCCCATCAAGAATATTCAGTTTGGCTTCATGGCACAGCGCATAGACACAATCTATTTCTTTGCTGGCATATCTTTATGGTTGTTCATTAAGCCTTCACGGATAATACTGATAAATTTCGGTGTGACATAACTCAACCTGATGCGCCAGCGATTATGGCCCATGAACTAACCACTGATAAAGATAATTTAGTTGCGTGGTAAAGAGAAGGCTGGAAAATCTTATCAAGTAACTCAACGGTTGCCCCCTTCATCTATCCTGGTGCAATCTGACTGTTTCGATGTTCTCAATACTCGTCTTTTCAAATCATAAATGCCCCCGACCATATTAAAATGAAATTGTTGAACTCCATCAAATTCTAAATCCACATCCTCATGAACTACTTAATAATTATGAATAGAATAGTTTGAAATGAGTGGATAATATTGCGAACTAAACATGCCAAAATCCAAATGATTATTACCTTAACAGTTTTCTATTAATAAATTATCATAATGATTACCCATCAAATCTCTAACGTAATTCCGGCACAGTATTTCAGAAGAATTTGAGGAGATTCATAATATTCGACATAATAAGTAATTGCTTTCTTTGGTAGACGATACAACGAGGACTCAAATAATCAACAGTAGTAAAATTTCATGCCCGTAATTTGAAAACCTCTTGGTTAATTGAAGATTTAAAAATAATCTAAATGTAATTACTAACAAAAGTTTGCAAAATTCATTGATACATTGAATGCAACCTATTAATAAGCACTTTAATTCTTTGTTTTGCGTAACTGACCCGAAGCGTCTGCCCCCGACGGAGTTGTTGAGGCTCCAGTAGGTGGCCATGACCATGAAGACAGCGAAGTATACGGCGGACGTGAGGGACGGCTGTAGCACCCCTGCCAGACCTATGAGCATCACGCTCACCGGGGTGCCTGAGGGTACATAACATCACGCTCACCGGGGTGCCTGAGGGAACATAACATCACGCTCACCGGGGTGCCTGAGGGAACACGCCTGAGGGAACATAACATCACGCTCACCGGGGTGCCTGAGGGAACATAACATCACGCTCACCGGGGTGCCTGAGGGAGCACAACAAACATCACGCTCACCGGGGTGCCTGAGGGAACACAACATCACGCTCACCGGGGTGCCTGAGGGAACACAACATCACGCTCACCGGGGTGCCTGAGAGGGAACATATACCCCAGGTAACACGTACTTAGAGTTCGTTTAGAGGCGCCAACACAAGAACATGAAGATGCACCGCCTTCGACGCTTACCATGCGCCAACTACTAGCGACACCGAGAAATGAACTGAGCTTCCTAAAGCTCGAACAAACGGCTAGCTTCACTATCTTGTTGCCGCTGCCACTGCGCTACAGTGGACGCACTTCATATAATTATTTATCACCCGTATGCACAGAACAGAGTTTAAAACATAAGGAAACGTTCATCATATCTCTATCGAACCAATTTAGCCCAACTTGGCGATTTCATTGCTTTTACATTTTTGTTGGACTAGCGATTTAAGCAAACTCATTATATAAATACTTGTACAGAGGACGGAATTCTGACCATATTATTAAAGCTGTGTCGCCTCGAATTATCTTCTATTTGGGATATTATTTTCTGGTGAATGGCACAGAAGCACATTGCCGCCACGCGGAGTGCGTACATGTAACATGGTAATAAAACCAAATTACCTTAATGCAATCTTTTAAAACCTAACGTATTTGGATTTTGGATAATTTATTGTGCGAGAAGATTTCCGATAGTCATTATGTAATCTACATTGATGAGTGAATTACTTACAACGGCATTATCATTGGAGGGTGCCGCATTGCAATACATCTCTCCACTCACAGTGATCACGTCGCCATGGCTATATCGCATTGACATGCATAAATGAATATACAAAGTTCCAAATTCCATCTCCAGAATCATAACTTGTCGAGCCTCACCTACGGAGTTCATGAGCTTGAGAAGGACGTGTCTGTAAGGTAATAGTACAGCAGGGGCAGGAGGGCTGCTGGTGGTAAAGACATCAGGTCTGAGTGCCTCATGGGCGGCGACCAGCTTAGTGATGACGATGAAGCTCGCAGGTCCCAGCACCAGCAGCAGGCACTCCGGCAGCAGCCACCGCGTCCCGTCCTCCTCCGTGATGCCGTCCAGCCGCACCAGCCCGATGTGTCGCAGGATCGTCTCGTTCGCCGAGCCTGGAGCAGAGAATAAATTATAGTTTTGGACCGTTCGCCGAACCTGGCGCAGAGAATAAATTATAGTTTTGGAGCGTTCGCCGAGCCTGGAGCAGAGAATAAATTATAGTTTTGGACCGTTCGCCGAACCTGGCGCAGTGAATAAATTATAGTTTTGGATCGTTCGCCGAGCAGAGAATAAATTATAGTTTTGGAGCGTTTGCCGAGCCTGGAGCAGAGAATCCATCCTGAATTTGGATGGCACAAGAATATAACTGTCAGTTGGTAATAAAATAACTCGATCACTGATTTTGGCCTTAAAGTAACTAACACTTCAGAGCAAGTCGACTTGACGTAATTCAGTAATTACAATTTTTAATCGAATTTAGTTAAAATAGTTCTTATTATTATATTATCTTATTAAACATTTCTCAGCTCGACCCAAAATTTATACGAGAAAGCCTAATGATGAATGAGGGAAAATAATCCCACTGATGAATTAAAAAATCGGGGACGAAAATTGGGAAGTTAATTAGGAAAATTTCTCGCCGGGGCAACCAAGCGAGGACGAACATAATTGCATCCTACATATCCCAACGCATAGCGCGTCTCTGAAATAAAAATTCTAATTATAAAATGAGAGAAGTATGACTCACAAGGCTGGAGGAAGAAGGCGTAGGGCGGGATGGAGAGCAGCACGATTTGGAAGATGAGCGTCATTAGGAAGTTGAAGATGCCCACCAGCGCTAGAGCCTTCATGTACCAGCCTGTGTGTCCTGCGACGTGCAAAAAAAATATTGCGCACGAGCCAGGAAGGTTCTTCAATAATAATTTGCCAGTACAAGCGAAAGTTTAAATAAGGTATGCCGTATGCGTCATTTAGTATTCATGATGTTTTTCACGCACTCTGCAAGCAAAATATACTGCGTGCGAGAAATAGAGTATTACCATACGAACACTCATTTAATTACATGTAAATATATGCAAATATTACGCGATGTTTTTTTTTCTTTAAAAAATTTATTAGCGTTTATAAAACTGAAGCTCCCTGTTCAAAAAAATACGGCTGTACTCACCTTTCATGGAGACGACAGAAGGCGTCTTCAACAAAGGGTTCACCAGCAACAGGACGAGATAAAACAACGAGGTCACACTGAACCTCATCGACACACCTGCAAAATAATCATAACTGTCCATCAAAATTTGCTCTACGACGAGATTATAAAAAATACAATAGGTATATCTGTTAAAATGTTCTAACAAAAACACGGCTAGTTTCATAGCTTGTATCTCGGTGAAGCCGAATGGTCAAGATCTATTTTGGAGCAGAGATCTAGGAATTCCAAACTCGCTATTTGCTGTAAAAATTCTGGTGGAACTCCACGAAGGTGGCCGGTTAAATATGAATCTGCTACAGGCGAAGATGGCCTAATGAGCACGGACACCGGAGCATATTGTTTCAATTCGTTATTGTATGATAGCCGAGTTCTGCGTGTGCCCAGGGTGCCGAGAGGCCACAGGGTACGGGCCAGAGAGACGGCACCAATAATCGTTAAGAATCTAGTTCTAAATGAGAGTTGCAGCAGAAATCGAGCTATTGATATAGATGATGATATGAATGTTTTTTTACAAAGTCCAATTTAGTGCATTTACACTATTCACCTTCGGTATTCACTAAAAATCTACCTCTCCAAAATTTCGGGGTAGAAGATCAAGAGTGTATTTTTGATTTTTTCGACAGAAGACATTTCAGCTGTTCTGGGTTAATTCATTCTCTTTGTCAAGATATGATTATCAATTATCAAGATATGATTTAGGAGATCTTTGATAGCTCTATGCGATACCGATTGCGTGCTGTATTCCGAGCGCATGTGTTGAAGGTTTCGGCATGAAATTGCTCGCACATGCAGCGCGTTCACTTCTGTAATTTCTGTTTGTTCGAAATTTCAAGTTATGTTTTATAGTAGCATCTATAATTTGTAATTTTCCTTTAAGTTTATCTATCTACCGGGTATCTAATAATAAGATGTGGCTCGTATTTCTTCCTGAAGCAAAAACCAGTGACTGTGAACGGAGGATCTTGCTCATATCTTCGGTAAGTCGCTTTTTCAATTATTCTGACAAAGTCATTTATTTCATCCAAGAAAAGTGGGCCTTTCCTGTCGTCTGCTACAGAATGTAAACAATCTTGCCGCCTACTCTGCCAGTTTGGCAGCGCGCTATCATTCCTATATTACACTTTGCCCGATCCTATACTCGAGGATCCATGCAATGAGAATATTTCTTCCTATAATGATGTAAATGTTATATTTTTTCTGTGAACAAACATGCTTGCTATTGAGAGGAAAACAAATTCCAGGCTTAACAATAAAAAGCCATATAAGTCGTCGGCGAGATGGGAATCGCACATAAAACTCTTCAGCCTACGTTGTAATAAGGAACCACATTTATTCAGCGCCACACAGTAAAATTTAAAGAGATGGACCAAAGCCTCAATTTCTTATTATTAAAGTGTCTCGGTTAGTGGATTCTTCAGCCGATTTCAACTATAAAATTTTCGTGCCCTCGGTCAGTAAAAAGGAAATACTTGAATCACAATAGTTCTATTCCTATGATTTACAATTTTTAGTAAGCTTTACTGGTAAAAAATGTTACTTTAATGAGAAAACTTTCTACAGCAAATTCTTTTGTTTTGTTTGTCTTGAGTTTGACCCGAGACCCCCGAGCTTTACGAGGGGTGCAGGACAAACACATCGTCGTTTCCTAGCCCAACTGGGTTGGCTATTCGCCTGCCCTATACTTAGGAAATTCGAGCGATGTCTATCAACATCATGTAACAGTTACGTACATTTTACTTTACTGACTTACCTACCAAGAAAATTTTTACGCAGCAGAATCTACATAAAACATATGCAAAATAAATATATTTTTACATTTTAATTTTTAGAAACAGAATTTTCGAGAGGGATTACCGAATTAAGTGGCAAAAAATTAAACTTATCAATTGAAAATTAGCTTTATCGACTGCAAGGAATAGACTGAAGTTTCTATTGTCTGTTTAGGTTCCTATAATTCAATGGTAACATGAACTGCTCAGGCATTGACCGAAAATTAAAACAACGGCCATTGTCCAACTGATTCACCAACATCGAAGCATCGAAGCTTAAAAAGATGCACCGAAGTATAGAAAAACAAGTAAAGTTAGTGACATCTGAAATTCAGAGGCAATCGACTCGATGTTAAAATAAAAGCCTTTGTAGGAAAATAAAAAAGTAAATAATAATGAGTGATCAATGCCGAACAAGAAATCAAAGTGAGCGTTTGAGAGAACGCGCGGTCAGGTTTCCCGACGACGCGCGAGGTCAGGCAACGGCTCCTTTATGAGAGAGGGAAGTGAGGGCGGAGCATGGCTCTACCTAATAAAGAGTGGGGCGCTCGCTGCCCTTTGTCGGGGCTTGCGAGGGCAGAAAAGGGTAAAGCTGGCACCAGAGGTAACATGAGACGGTGACAGAAGCAACTCGAGGTAACAAGAGACGGTGACACTCGCTGCAGGCACTGGAGGTAACAAGAGACGGTGACAGAAGGAATTCGAGGTAACAAAAGGCGGTGACACTAGCTGCAGGCACTGGAGGTAACGAGTGGGAGTGATGCCCATGATTGGTAAAAGATAGGGTAAATTTTTCTAAAGTTTCTAACTTTCTCTTGCAGATAACAAAAAAATAAAAATGACACTTACTTAAACCCTGGTTTTCAAAGCCGTAGGCTAATGAACTGCCCATTTCCCGAGGCTGTTCAACCCAGTTTGCAAATATTTAAGGGGAGTGTCTTGGTTCAAAATTAGAAATTAGTTCATTTCCGTTTTCTTTGCTCATTTTTTTCGCTGATAAATAGGCGCGTCTATCGCAGCAAACCGTATGTATGCGCGTGTTCTGTTTTTGCGTAAAGCAATTTCAAAAATGAACGAAATGAACTTTTTTAACAATATGTACAAAGATTTATTTAAGTTGAATGTGTATATATAGATCATGATTTAAGTTAATTGCAAAGTGTTTGCACTCGTTTAAAAGCTACAAATAAGACGCGTTCAAAAAAGTTTACACAATGGATGTACATGCAATAATTTTTGCATAAAGCAATTTTGAACTTTTATAAAATGACCATTTTATAACAATATTTACAAATTTTCATTAAAATTTTATTTAAAGATCGTAGTTCGCTTTATAATTGCAAGGTGTTTGGACTCGTTTGAAAGCTACAAACAATACGCGTACAACAAAACTAACACCATAGATGTACATGCAATAATTTTTGCTCTAGGTCGTTTTGAACTTATATAAAATCAACTTTTTATATAGACATAAATTTAAAAAAGTCACATTTTAAACTTGTTATTCACGTTAAACTGGACAAGAATAGGTCTAAAGATGCGTGCTAGTACCCTAAATGCAAATAACTTGCAATGGGAAAGCTTGGGCTACAATATCACGCAATTTTTTGGGCATATATATTTTTTCAATATATTTTACTTATTTGGCTCCCCTGAACGAGTAAAATATCCATCTTAAAAATCTATCTCCTCCTATGAATTTCGAGCTACAGCATTGAGAGATATACAATTCGATTTGTAAAATCAAGCTCTAGCGATTAACCAATCAAGTTTTTTTATTCCGTTATAGTATGGATTATATTTTGAAAAAGGAGAGGGAGTAGTGGGAAAGCAAGCATCACCCGAAAAACCCTCCTCCCACCCAAACAAATATGATTTTGGAAAAACCTTTTGATGAATCGATAGATATGGTCTTTACAAATCGAATGACATGTCTCCCGATATTGTAGCACGTTAATTGTAAGAAGAGATAATTGTTCTACAAGACCCACTGTTTTGCCGTTTTCTCCGAATTTAACGTTTTCTTTCATTTTTCGAAAAATTTACACGAACAAATAAGTCTTAGATTTCTATTTTACATATGTGTACCAAGTTTCGAAACGATCCTTACGTAAGTAAAAAAAATTTTTTTGGACCAAGACGCTCCCCTTAATTCGCTTTAGTGAAACTAGCGAAACCTCGTAACCGGTCAAAAACTCAAGCAATTCAAGCATCGTAAAGATGTTATTATGGAAATATTTTGGCTTGAATAACAAATTCTAAGAAAATAACTTCAGACAAAAAATGTGAACAAAAATTAATTTCAAGTATATCATTATTATAATATAAAAACATACTTATACGCTGCCACTTGCTTACAATCAAGAAAAACTGCAAGAAACTTTGTGCGTGGCAAGATCAGCAAGAAATAACGCGCTGGATGCCGGGGCTCTGAGACAATTGTATGTCCGTTTGCTTGTCGAGGAAAAATGTCCAGCATTCTAATGGGCGCAGATAACTCCCATGCCGACCTTGTGTCTCACATGCAGATCATGAAATTGCTTTATCCGCTTTATCCGCTCTTAGAAAAGCCAATTTTACAAGAGACAAACTGAACTATTCTTCTCTATAATAGGATTACTGCTCATCTCTATATGAACTTGCACAAGTGCTGGCGTGACAATGTCTTACGAAAATTAGAGATATGCAAGATATGCAAATTTGCGAGCTTCATCAAACTGAAACGTTTTCCAGCCAGCAAATACTGCAAATCCTTCTCGTCCCAGCCGAGAACAATTTATTTACTTTTTTACTATAAAACAAATAAATCAATGTTAAAATGGGGAATCCACACTTTAAGTGTAGTGAAAATGTGGTGCAAAGTAAATGAATGTACAGATCAACAAAACTTAGGTGATATTGTGCGTTGCGCACTAAAAACGGCAGGGTTACATCGCTCTGAACTCTACTTGAGATTAAGGAATCAAATAAGAAGGAGTAGCAGCCGCTACTGTGAGCACAGCAGCTGCAAGAGGCAGTCGCTGGTTTAATGCCCGACGCAGCTTCTTGCGAGTCACTGAGTCTCCAGAAAAAGCTGAAAGCTTACCGTTATGCAATAGTTTTTATAAAATAGATGAGACAAACTGTTGTCTTGGTTATTTAATCTTACAGCATACTAATTTTTTTCACTTCGCATTTGATGGCTCTGGCAGAATTCATAAATACTGACGTTTACACGATACCTACTGCTCTCTTATTACTTTTTTCATCTTCAAAATGTATTTGGGATTTTTTTGAATTTTCAAC